CAGGCCGGGGCCAAACCAAAGGCTGCAGGTAGTGTAAAATCCAAGTCTTCCCGGAATGGCATGTACTTAATGAGCCACCACCTCTGCCTCCTAGAGTTTCCATTGGCGGGACACTGGCTCCCAACACTGGAACCATGGCTAAAACTCAGGTACCCTGAAAAGGACACACGTGTACCAAATCAACCAGCATCTTTAAAAAAAAGAAACTGTTTTTATTTCAAAGGCAGAACTACAGAAAGAAGAGAAAGAGAAATCTTCCATCTGTTGGTTTACTCTCCAAATGGCCACAGCATTGAGTTGAACCAATCTGAAGCTGGGGCCAGGAGCTTCTTCTGGATCTCCCACTTGAGTGCAGGGCCATCTTCCATTGGTTTCCTGGACCACAAGCAGGAAGCTGGATGGAAAGTGGAGGGGCTGGGACATGAACCTGCACCAGCATCGGACCCCAGAGCTTCTTGCAAGGTGAGAATTTAGCCATTGAGCCATCATGCTGGGCCTGAAATAACAAAGACTGGAGAACTGCACAGAACATTTAAGGTCTGGGGGAAAAATACTGAAAAGGCCTAACAGTTGCCTCATTAGCATTCCAGAAGGAGAGGAGTACAGTGTGGGAAAAATATGAGAAGTTCCAGTGGCTGAAGTACCCAGATCTGATGAGACATAAAACTATAGATACAAAAAGCTCAGTGAGTCCAACTAGGATAAGCCCAAAGAAAACACAGGCCTAGACATATGGAGCTGCTCAAAGTGAAAAATAAGGGCCCGGCACGATGGCGCAGTGGTTAAGGTCCTCGCCTTGCACACCCGGGATCCCATATGGGCGCCGGTTCTAATCCCGGCAGCCCCGCTTCCCTTCCAGCTCCCTGCCTGTGGCCCGGGAAAGCAGTCAAGGACAGCCCAAGGCTTTGGGACCCTGCACCCGTGTGGGAGACCTGGAAGAAACTCCTGGCTTCGGATTGGCTCAGCTCCAGCCATTGCGGCCGCCTGGGGAGTGAATCATCGGACGGAAAATCTTCCTCTCTGTCTCTCCTCTCTGTATATCTGCCTTTCCAATAAAAATGAAATAAATCTTTTTTAAAAAGTGAAAAATAAAGTAAAATGGTCAAGAAAATGACATATTTGTAGGGGGACAAGAGTCTCGTGGCATGGATTTACAGCAGAAGCTGTGAAAGCCGTTTCAGAACATTGCTGGAACAGGCATTTAGCATCTTGGTTCTACTTCAAATTCCAGTTTCCTGTACACCCTGGGAGGCAGCAGGTGATGGTTCAAGTACTTGGATATCTTAGATGGAATTCTTGGTTCCCAAGTTTGGTTGGACTTCCCCCTGGCTATTATCATTTGGAGGAGTAAATTAGTGGATAGGAGATGTGTCTCTCTCTGAATATCCCTCTACCTTTCAAAGAAATTTTTAAAACTACACAAAAACTTAAAATACATCAAAGATCATCTTTTTAAAAGATATTTGAAAGCCAGTTCTACAGGGAGAAGGAGAAACAGAGAGAGAATCTTCCATTTGCTGATTCACTTCCCAAATGGCCACAATGGTCAGAGCTAAGCTGATCTGAAAGCAGAGCCAGGTGGCTGTTCCAAGTTTTGCATGTGGGTGCAGAGGGCCCAAGGACTTGAGCCATCTTTCTCTGCTTTCCCAGGCACATTAGCAGGGAACTGAATTGGAAATGGAGACGCCAGGACTCAAATTGGCATTCATATGTGATGCCAACACCACAAGCAGAGGCTTAACCTACTACACCATTATATGATTGCTGGGGCCCCAAAGATCATATAATTTCACTCCATGGGCCAAAGCGGGGGCGGGGAGGAGGGGGAAGCACAGGGGGATGAGATGGAGGTGGGGAGCTGTGCCAGGAGACACACGGTACAGAATCCTGCAGAGAGAATCCTGCTGTACCACACTGCCAGGAGGAGACACAGAGCGAGGCGGCTAGAGCCACACACTCCTCCTGCCCGGCTTCACTCATGTTCACTGTACAAGGAGGGCGAAGCCGCGGCTGTCTTCCACCACAAGGCTTATGCCACCACCATGGCCATGGCCTCCGGAGTTTATCTAGGGCTGTTCCTAGCTGGCAAACAACAGAAACTGCTCCAGCTAGCTGACGCCAGCAAAGAAATCATTAGAAGAGGCCAAAGTCTCCCACAGCTCAGCCTGTGTCTGAGTTGATGTCTCCTTTGAACTCAGGCCTTTTCCCAGGCCACGTGGCAAAAGATTGACAGCTTATGAGTCTTATGTGCTGCAGTTTCAAAGGGCTCTGGCTCTCCCTAAAACGACCCCAGGGAAACAAATTGTTTCAACTTGGGGCTAAATGTGTCCCCACGGCTAGACTGTAGTTTAGGGTCAGTGTAAACAGTGCCTCCTTCTGTAGTTTGAGTGGAGAGAATTTCCCAGGAAACAATTTAAAAATTACTGGAATGTAATAGCCTTCCAGTACAAGTGCCTGCTATTTGTCCTTGACACATATTTGCCCCAGTTGATTTTTTTTTTTTTTTCTTTTTTGGTTTGGCATCTGGATGGTTTGCTTGTTTAACGCTTTAGAAATAACAAAAATATTAAAAACTATACTTACGACACAACAGGGTACCCAGCATTTTCCTGGCATCTAAGAAGCTGTTTAAAATATTCTCAAAGGCACAAGCATTTGGCACGGCACCTAGGTTGCTGCTAAAGACGCCTGCGTTTCCTTTCAGGCAGCCTGGTCACCCACACGGGGAACCTAGATTGATTTCCAGGTTGGAGCACCTGGCTGTGACCCAGCCCCACCCTAGCTGCTTTGGCCATCTGGGGAGGGAATCAGAGGATGAAAGAGCTCTCTGCCTTTCAAGTAAAATGAAAAGCAGAATAAATAAACAAAATATTTTCTGGGTCACCTGGCTTGGTAAAGCCTACTTGTTTGTGTGTTTCCTTTCCTGGCTTACCATACCATCGAGGTAAGGTTATCAACAGGAGCTCATGATGTTGCCCCGAAATGCTTGTTCCTTTGTCTTCACATTTTCCCCGGGGGGAGGTGATTTCTGCCCGCAGGAGAACAGTGTATTCAGGCTCTGTCTCCCACAAGGGAGAATGACACCTGTGACACGTGTGATTGATAAGACTTGGCAAATTTGGGGGCTCTGGATGCTCCTACTCTGGAGTAGCTAACTCCCCACCCTTATGCCCTCAGCACCTCCTTCCTTGAGCAACAAGCCTGGAGATGCCCAGTTTGTGTCTGGAATGGAGGGGCAGGTGGGGACAAAGGGGCAGAGGCAGGGCTGTAGATTGGGAAATCCATTGGCTCAGGTCCAGACCAGTTCATCTCACCCAGTTTCCCCATTAGGAAGCTGATTGTCATCCCCAGCTACCTGGCTTTTTGATCGACTCTTCCATTAGCAGACTCTTGTCAAAGCTTCATGGAGAGACCTTGGCTCAAAGAGGAAAGTGCATCTTCTCTCCTGGAGTAACATTGCCATCTCACAGCTCTCTGTTGACTGATACATCCCATATTTTCATACACCAACAGTCACCTTTTCCTGCAGGGTGGGAACAGAGAGATGAATATCAGGGACCTGCCTGGTAGGGTTTGAGATGATTTTTTTTTTTCCTAAAAAGAAGCAGTTTTCCATTCCAGTGGCATTCTGGTCTACCCAGAATAAGGCGCTTACAACACTTCGGGCTTCACTGAATATGTTCCTCTCCCCTTTGTCTCTCTCACGTCTCATGGACTCCAAATGGGAGATGAGTGGCAGGGAAGATTGTGCTTTGGGGATGGATTCAGCAAGAGTCCTCCCAGCTCCCAAGAGCCCCTCCTTTTTTGCCCACCTTCCTTCCTTCCTCCCCTCCATTCTTTCTTAATTCTTGAAATTTGTAAAAAAATTTATTGACTTTTAAAAAGTCATAGTTTTTGGTATGGTTTGTTTTTTATTAACAGCAATTGCGTATATTGGTGGGGGACATTGGGTTATAACATCTCCCCCCATCTCCCTTCCCCTCCATTGCCCTATGCTTATCATTACAGCCCTGGCGCCAATCTCAGCAAACAATAAGAACCATCATCCTCTGTGCTGGAAGATTCCTTCTCTCTGACTCTAATTGATATCTGTTACTCGGCACCATCACCCCCCTCCCCCCCACACACATACCTCCCCAAGTCTCAGAGTCTTAAAGAAAGATTTATTTTGCTTATCAGATAGGCAAATTAATAGAGAGGGAGGAGGTTGGGGGAATGGAAAGAGAAAAAAAAAAGAGAAATGCCTTCAATCTGTTGGTTTACTTCTCATATGGCCACAAAAGTCGGGGCTGGGTCAGGTCAAAGCTAGGAACCGGAAACTGCATCCAGTCTTCCACGTGGGTGGCAGGGAGCCCAACACTTGGGCCATCTTCCGCTGCCTTCCCAGACACATGAGCGGGAATCTGGGTCGGAAGTAGAGCATCTGGGACTTGGATCTGCACCCATAAGGGATGCTGGCACTGTGAGCGGAAGCTTAACCCATTACACTGTAGGGCTGGTGTGCCCCATCCCCCACTCCCTATGGCTTTCAAATAAATCTTAATTTTAAAAGGTTTTATCTGGAAATTATTTTAAGTTGCATCAATTATCTCTCTCTTTTTCTTTTCTAACCTTGGCTCTTTGATCAATGACTCAACTTCCTGCAGAAGTTCCAAAACATTCAAGATTTCCTAGGTCCTGGGGAACATGACTGATCCATAACTGATTATTGCCTCGGATACTTAAGTCCTCTCCTGCTCTCTCAGTGCTCAATGCAGACCTCAGGGACACCTGAGCTGGACTCTCTCGGGGGAGGGGGGTTGTGGGTTCCAGGAGGCCCCAGCCACCCAGGGGGCTCATTTGACTCAGAGTCACAGCCGTGACACTTCCTCCATCAGTATGATCCTGGCTCCCTTCCCACCCGCTTCTCCACCTCCCATCCGGGCACAGCTCAACATTTCTACAACGAAATTTGCATCATGCAGCAGCAGGAAGGCTCTGAGGGGCTGCTTCGCTGAGCCATGGTCTCTCCCACCACCCCCCTGCTGCTCCTGGCCGTGACCCTGTCCCTGCTGGGGTCACCAGGTGCCACGGCATTCCAGCCTGTAAGTACCACAAGGGTGAGGGGCACTAGGTTGTGAATGAGCAAAATACGGGGTGAAAGGACAGGTGAGCAGAAGGCCTCTGCCCATGTGAGAGGAAGAGACGCAGCCTGAGTTCTGAGGGCCAGCTCTGTGTTCTGATATCTGGGTCCTTATGAGTTCCACAGATGGTACTACACTTCAGATAAAGGCCTTCCCAGTCTACTTGAACTTGGGAGAGGAAAGAAAAGTTCTCCAGACTAGTGAACCATCTAAAGAAAAGGCCACAGATTGGAGTACTTGCAACGTTTATTTGCTGATCTCGTTTTGAAAAGCAGGAGAGTGAGCAAGACCATACTCGCTGTTCAACTGTCCCAAACAGGAAGGACTGGGCCAGGCGGAAGCTAGAAGCCTCAAACTCAGTCTGGGTTTCCCGTGTGGGTGGCAGGAACCCAAGTCCCTGAGCTGTCGCTGCTCCTTATGGGCACACACGCATTGCCAGGAACCGCTGGTCAGAAGCAGAGCCAGTACTCAAACCAGGCTCTGTGATGCAGGACACAGGTGACCCATCAGCCCAAATGCCTAGCCCAGATTAGGATAGGACGTCAAGAGTTTTGTCTACTGAATTCTATCTCCAAATCAATATGTATCCTTAGATTTACATCTTAATCCTTGTGTAAATCTGTGCCTTCTCCAACCCCTATCTAGCTCCTGTCTTATTCTGGGGTTGGAAGGTAAGTACATGCAGTCTTGAAAGGGGAGCTGGTGCAGAATTAATTCTACAGGAACTGAAAACAACGAGGAAGATGTGGCCTCCTATTCCCCCTCTTTCAAATTCTCCAGCAGGAATTTGGTTCCCAAGCCCCTGGCTCCCTGCATTTCTGTCCAGCCCAGCCATTTCAATTAGCCTAGAGGTTCAGGAAGGAATTTAAGCAAAACATGTTGACTGCCCAGGGCGCGTGCCTCTTCCTCGTTTCAGGTGAGACTTGCAGGCTATGGCTCCCTGGACACTGCTGCCGGAGCCTACTTTCCCCACCTGATGCATGCTCTGGATGGCCCAAAGACAGCAGCGCTGCCAAGAGCTCCACGCACCCTGGACCGTGCAGGGTACAGCGCCTTCTCAGAGTCCACATCCCTGTGTTCTCTTTCAGGGACAGAGCCAGGCTGGAAGGGGATCTGAGCAGCCCCCAACCCAAGAGGGCAGCGCAGGGGGTGAGTGAGAGACCAGGGCAAAAGGAGGTGACTGAGAAGGGCTGCAGGAGGGCTCAATGGCAGAGCAGCAGGGCACAGTAGGCACGCTCTGACCTCAACAGGCCAGGGAGCCCCAGCAGTTTTCTGGCTCTCAGCAGACAGCCAGACACTCCTGCTTCTTGAGCCTCCTATGGCCTGTGGGGCTCAGAGGGAGCATGTGTCCAAATGAACTTGCTGGGCCCAGGGCTTCTGCACTGCTGAGCCCTGTCTGTGCGCCCACCCAGGCCACGAGTGCAGGAGGTGGCAGGGTTGTAACCTTGCTGCCCCTCCTCTCCAGCTGTCCCTTCTGCTCCTGTAGAATCAGCGCTGGTTGCTGTCCACCTACGTCTGGAGGTTCCAGAGGCGGCCTGGCTCTCTGTGCTTGCTGAAAGCCTGACTCTCCCCACCACTTTGCCTTCCTCTTCCTTCACTCGCCTCAGTCTCACAACAGGTACCACCTGCCCACTTCCCAGGCCTCCTCCAGCCAGTGCCCTGGGCTTGCTGCACAGGTGCCTCCCTGTTTCTGGGGGTTCCACCTGCTTCCTTCTTCCTGTCCCAGCTCCCTCCTCGTGCCCACTCGCCCCTCTTCCTGTCCCTGTGTCTGTTTTCTAACTTCTGCAGAAGGCCCCAGGGTGGGCCATGGGGCCCAGACTGGCTCACCCTGTCCCTGATGCCCTCAGCCCTGCTCCCTCTCCTGCTCTGAGCACTGGCTTGAAGAGGAAGTCCAGGTTAAGGATGGGGTAGTGTGGGGGTAGGGGTGTGTGTGACTGAGGCCTCAGGGCTTTGTGTTTGGCCCTGACATGCAGCCTCCAGCCTCAAGGGCATCAGGCAGCTATGGGTGGCCGCCCGGCATCCTCAGCCAGTACCCTCCTCACCACCCTTCTGTACCCTGTCCAGTGTGCAATGCCAGTCGCCAGGATGCGGCCATCTCTTGCACATGCTGCACAGGATACCAGTGGAACGTCAGCTTCTGCTCCAGCCACCAGCGCTGCCCTGACTCTCCCTGGCATCCACCCTGCCGTTGTCTGATCTTCAGGCATTCTGAACCCAGCTACTGCCAGTTACTGCCACCTGGTGAGCCAGGCAGGGAACTGGAGAACCACAACGTCCAAGGTATGTGTGTAGAGAAACAGACGCGTGTCCTTCCTTCCCCAAGCCTGATAGCCAGGCCTGTTCCAGGGCTCCTCTGCGGAAGAGAGAAAGCCAGTCCTCCCAGCAGAGGATGCGGGAACCCCAGGGAGAATTTGGACAAGGGGAGATGGTGCTAAAGTGACCTGCTTTTTAGCCGAAGGATCCAAGAAGCAGCTGGAGCAACCTTGAGTTAATTATAAGTTAGCTATTTGGGGAAGAGAAGTTATAGACTAGTTTACCAGTTTTGTTCCCACCACTAGTAGGGTCCCAGTCTGAACCAAAGCAATTTAGATCCAGGGCCCAAAACATAAAGTTAGGCTTGGAGGGGCATGGAGGGACATGGAGGAGTATGGAGGGGCATGGAGGAGTATGGAGGGACGTGGAGGAATGTGGAGGGACTTGGAGAGGTTTGAAAAGGCGTGGAGGGTCACAGACAGGTGTGGAGAAGCATAGGTGGGTTTGAGCAGACAGGGGGAGCAACCTCTTGGCTGCCCAGGGTGGTCGCTGGGAGGAGGGGTGCTGAGTGTACTCCCTGCAGACTTCCCCATCTCCTGCCTGCTTGCAGCCCCCTGGAACCAGAGCCTCCCCTCCAGCCGACATACCCCTGGCAGCACGCTGCAGCTGACCCTCAACTTCAGCCAGGAACTCGCCAGCCTGAGATGGCTTGTGAGGAGCCCCGGAGAGCACAACAGCCCCCTGGGGCCGGGGGCACAGGTGTCTCTGATTCCCAGCCAGGACCAGGCTGCCCTCCCTGTCACTCCAATGCCCCAGGAGTGGGCAGGTAGCAGGCGTGGTCTCTCCTGTCTCCTCTGTTTTGTTTTGTTTTGTTTTTCTCTCTCTCTCTCCCTTTTTCTTCTCTGCTTCTCCCTTCCTTCCTCTGCCCCCTCCATTCTCCTTTCTTTCCGTCTCACCTTTTCCACCTTTTCATTGACTCATTCTGGGGAAACAAAGGTGTGGAGAGCCACTCTATGAAAAAGTCTAGAAACAGTCAACTGTTTTTAACAATGGTCTGGTGACTTCTGGGACCCTTCTGGGAGTTCCCAGTTACAATGATGGCCGTGCTGGCTACTGTACCTCCTTAGGAGTAGGCAGAGCATGTCCCCCAGGGCCATAAGGTCATACTGGAAATTGAAGAAAGAAAAACCTGGGCTAGCTTCCATTCAGCCAGATGTTAAAGAGATTTGCAAATACTGTGGGGGGGTGTGGGAGGTAAGCTCTGGGTGGGCCTGGGGGCTGCTCAGAAAGCAGCAGGGCTTCTGTGGCCACCACAGCAGGTGTGCGTCCGCAGGTGAGCGCACGTGCAGCTTCAAGGCCCAGGGAGTTCTGTGGGAGCTGTACCAAGTGGTGAATGTGTCCTTGGAAGCAGCTCACCTTCTGGACCAGCTGTCCGTCTTCTGCACCAGCTCCTCTGGCTTCCAGCTGAGTTGCTGTGTCCCCAACACATCCCTGACCTACATGGCTACCTGGAGTTCTGGGGAGGACAGTGAGGGTGAGAGGGGGTGCCCAGTCCAGGGGTAGGCAGTCGGGGTGATGGGGGCAGTTGGAGAAACAGAGGCTGGGAGTTAGGGGTCTTGGCCCCCGCAGAGCAGTCCCCATTTTGTGGTTGTGATAGGTTTGAAGAATGCCACTCTGCAGCCAAACCCATGTCATGCTCAACTTTGGGATGTGTCCCCATTTGACAGATAGGGACCCATCAAGACACACACCCCTTCCCAACCAGGGTGCCCCTCAGTGAAACCCAGGTTCTGTCCTCAGTAGACTTAAGCCTGCACTCCCCTCAGCTGTCTGATCCCACAGCCCTGTCCCATCTGTTTCTGAAAATGCTACAAGAGCTGACGTGATAATGTCAAGCCTGGCTGGGTTCCAGCCTGTGTCAGGCCTCATGACTGTCCTTCCCTCCAACCTCTCTCGCCCTCAGCCCCCTTCCTGCACACATGGAGCCCTCAGTGCCTGGTGCAGGCTGTCCAGCACTGCCCAGCTACCGACATCACAAGCACGTGCAAGCTGCAGAGCCAGGGATCAGTTTCTCTCAGGGTCCCCGTCTCCATCACTGACATCCAGGGTATGTGGGGTGCAGGGGTCTGGGAGGCCCACCCCCTCAGCTGCTTGGCCTGGGAGCAGGGGCCTCCTGGTTGGGGTCACCTGTCCAGGCAACAGGGCGAGGCTCCAGTGTCCTTAACTTCTTTGTCTTTAGATGGTGACATCATGTGCTCTGAGGACTCCTGGAATATCACCAAGGCTGTCTTCCGGGTACAGGCCTCATGTCCTGGTCCTACGGGCAAGAGGGATATGGTGAAGGGGGCTCCAGCAAATGTAACTATTCAACAGGTTCCAGGCCCTGTCAGCCAAAGTGCAGCCTCCTCTGTCCTGCAGCTCTAGTTGAGACCTTAGGGTCATCATTCTCCCCAGGGTGCAATGTGCATTTGCAAACTACAGCCCACGGAGTGTGTGCTTTAGCATAGGGGTCGGCACCTTCCATGCAGACCCTGCACTCCCACCTTTGCTTCCTGCTCTCTCTGGAACGAACTCTGGAAGTGGGGAGACAAGCACGTGGACAGAAGGACAAGAGGGTCCTCCGTCCCCTCCCCCTGTGCTGAGGGCTCTCTCACCTGTTTCATTCCAGCTCTCTGTTTGGTTTCTGCAGGTGCTGGCAGACTTGACCCGCCTACAAAGTCTAGAGGAGAGGACCATGTTGCCCTCTGACTTGCTGTCACTACTGAACAACACAGAGCACCTGGGCATGGTGATAGCACAGAACCAGGGGCAGCTTAAGCCCGAGATCCTACAGGTGACTTTTCTGAGCCATAGTTAAGTTGGCTTGGACAGTGAAGATTGGAAGTTCTGTGCCCATGGGTGCACCTGTCAGATGCCAGACTTCAAAGGGTCCAAGTGTCTGTTGTGCTGTCCATACCTGGTCGTGGAAGAAGCACCAGTTTGCAAGGCCTTAGAACATAGGAAGGCCTCGATGCTGGGAACACACAGGAAGTTAGAAGGCAGGCGAGGGGGTGGAGACTTGAGCATGGAGGTGTGCCTGTACCTCACACTCACATACACATACGGGTTGCACATACAGCTGCCTAAACACACTTGGCTTTGTTGGACTCACTGAATTAGCTCTCAGTAGGGGGGTCTCTGGTGACCCACAAGCTGCAGCCCCTTAATCACAAGGAGCAATGCTACTGCACACCCTTTGTGCCTGGGGATATAAGAGGGCATATATGGGAGGCAGGCAGGGAGCACAGACTGGGGTGGGGTTGAGGAATTGAAGATAGGTGCCCAGGTGGCCTCAAGATACAGCTATGTTGATGGGCAGCAGGGCTGGGTATGGGTCAGAAGGCCACATCTTTGAAGCTGCCCCATTTGGGGAGGGCTTATCATCCTCTCCCCATTCCTCTCCCACCCCGGATCTCATACTGGCTTAGGAAGAGAGGAGATAGGGGTCTACAGAATCTTCTCCCTCACGCTCATCTCTCTGTCACAGAATATCCTGATAACCATGGACAAGATCCTAGACATGAATATCAGTTCCTTGTGGACAGCGGTCCAGGTCCAGTATCCCCGGATGCCCTCATTCTTCCTGTGGGCTGTGGAGACCCTGGCAAGCCGACTGCACCTGCTGAATCGATCAATCACCCTCAACTTGACCAACGTGTTCCTGCACAGCCAGATCTACCCACCTACATCCTCTTCTAACTATATAATGGCCTTGCCCCTTGTGCAGGCACATATCCCCTGGCACTCACTGGCCCCACATGTCCCTAATGGAACCAGTGTCCGAATTACGAGCTTGCTGCTGCAAAAACTAGACCATCTCCTGCCCACAAACTATGGGCAGGAGCTGGGAGACGACCTCTACGTCACTTCTGGTCGCATCCTCTCCATTTCCGTCATGGCTGGTCGCCAGGCCATCAAGCAGGCAAATGTCATCATGCACTTTGAGGCCATAAATGGTGTCCCCCACTGTGTCTTCTGGAACTACAGTCTCTTTTGGCCCAAAGGGGGTTGGTCAAAGGAAGGGTGCCGGGTGGCCTTTGCAAAGCACACTGCTCAGTGCATTTGTGAGCACCTCACTGCCTTCTCCATCCTTATGTCCCAACACTCTGCCCCACATGACCCTGCCCTGGAACTGCTGAGTCAGGTGGGCCTGGGGACCTCCATAATGGCACTGCTAGCATGCCTGGCCGTGTATAGGCTGGTATGGAGATGTGTGGTACGGAACAAAATTGCCTACTTCCGCCATGCCGCCCTGGTCAACATGACTTTCTGCTTGCTGTTTGCAGACACCTGCTTCCTGGGCTCCCTACTGTTCCAACCTGAACCCCAGAGCCTGTTCTGCCTGGCCGCAGCCTTTTTCTCTCATTTCCTTTACCTGGCCACCTTTTTCTGGATGCTGGCACAGGCCCTGGTGCTGGCCCACCAACTGCTTTTTGTCTTCCATCCGCTCTCTAAGCACCGAGTCCTCACCCTCATGGTGATCCTTGGCTACCTGTGCCCCTTGGGCCTTGCTGGGGCCACCATTGGCCTCTACCTTCCTCAGGAGAAGTACCTACGGCAGGGACTATGCTGGCTGGATGCGAAGGGAGGGGCGTACTATACCTTCGTGGGGCCTGTGCTCATCATCGTGGGTGTCAACGGGCTGGTGCTGGCCATGGCGGTGCTGAAGCTGCTGAGACCATCGCTGTCAGAGGGGCCTCCAGCAGAGAAGCGCCAGGCTCTTCTGGGAGTGGTCAAGGCCCTGCTCGTTCTCACACCCATCTTTGGCCTCACCTGGGTACTGAGCCTGGCCACTCTGTTAGAGACAGGCTCCATAGTCCCTCACTACATCTTTACCATCTTCAACGCCTTCCAGGTAGGTGCAAAGGTGGTGGCTGGGTGTGTTGTCTCCTCTCAAGGAAGCATTGTGATCAGTCAGAAAGAACAGGCCCAGGGATGCAAGGAGAATGGATCCCAGTGGTTGCTCTGGCCAGCTGAGTCACTCCAGGCAAGTTACACAGCCTTTCTGAGCTTAGGGTTCCTTTTTCTTTTTAGATTTATTTATTTATTTGAAAAAGTTAAAGAGAGAAGGAGAGAGAGTGTGAACATCTGCTGGTTCATTTTCCCAATGGCCACACTGGCTAGTAGCCTGGGCCAGGTTGAAACCAGTTACGAAGAGCTTCTTCCAGGCCTCCCACATGGCTGGCAGGGGCCCAAGCACTTGGGAAATCCTCTGTTGCTTTTAGGGAGCTGCATGTAAAATGGAACAGCCAGGCTAATAAACTGATGCCCCTATATGCACGGGGCCAGTATGCCACAAGGCCAGCCCCTGAACTTTGTTTTACCTGTAAGATCCCATCTGATATGCTAGAGAAGTCAGGAAGTTGCCAATACCCAACTGCTTAACATCCCTCTTGTAAACATAGCAATAAGAAAAGCATCTAAATGGCTCCTGTGTGATAGATGGTGCTTGCATGCAGAGATGGAGTTGGGAAGCCTGGGGATGTGGGTTAGCCAGGAGGATGCAGACTGAAGGAAAGGGAGAGGCAGTGAGACACTTGAGCTCATTATCCCCGTCCCTCCTCTCAGGGTGTCTTCATCTTACTGTTTGGTTGCCTCATGGACAGGAAGGTGAGTCTGAACACCTAACCCCTCACGTGATTCAAAGTCCTGAGACAGGGATGTGGTCTGCCTAAGTGGGCATCTCCCTCACCTGCAGGTACTGGAGGCTTTGCGGAAACGCTTCTGCCGCACCCAAGCCCCCAGCTCGGCCATCTCCCTGGTGAGTCAGTCACCCACCCCACCCTGAGGAGGCCGAAAGGTATCCCTCAGCCATCCGCAGGGCCTAGGGAAGATCAAGGCTGTTTTTGAAAATGAGCAGATTTCAGGCTCAAGGTCTCCAGCAGTAACTGGTCCCTGATTTCTGTGCTGGATTAGCAATGGGAGAGAAATGGCAAGATGGGTGCTCACTGGAATTGCCCTCCCGGAAAGCCCCAAATCCCAGGATGACAGGCGGGCAGTAGGTGATGGTGCCAACCGGACAGCGCTCTTCCAAGCAATGCTGCAGGCAGTAATCACCCTGAAATGGGCCTTTCCACTTCTTCCCAGGGCACAAATGAAACCCACGTCTCAGACCAGAGCAAAGGAGGAAGGGAAAGCAGCAGGTGAGAGCCGGGGAGCAGGGCTGGGTGAAGCAAAGCTCCAGCGAGGCTTCTCTCCATGGAACCACCCAAGCCCAAGGGCTCAGGAGCAACCTTTCCTAGGGGAGCCATTTCCAGTGGACTGGGGCTGCAACAGAAGGCACAGTGGCTTGTAGAAAGCTGGGAGACTTTCACCACTAGCCTCCCCTAACTCCATTCACTTCAAATATCCCCTATTATGTTACCATATGCTCTGAAGCCTCCCTCCCCTTCTGTAAGCCCTTGGGAAAAGCAGCCTGTGTTTTCATCAGTCACACTCATTCCTCTCACAGCCCAGCTGTCTCCACTTGCCCGCCTCCTCCCTATCTGCCCCACCCCTCTCCCTGCAAAGCATCTAAACAAGAAGAGCGTGAAAAACTGGCTAACACTACCCAGTGAGTAAATTCGCCTTTGATGTAAAACTAACCAACAGGAAACCAAAGTCCAAAATAATTGGAAGTAAAACTGTCTCAACCAGGTTCTAATGAATAATGGGCCCTGGTAAGGGAATAGTTGATAAAAACAGCTCTCACTATTCAGTGATTACTGTTTTGCTTTCTTTCTCATAGCTATAAAGAAAGGACTGCTTAATCGATAGGAACTGGCAAGAGAGGGCAGAATTTGTTTTCTTTTCAAGATTTAAGGAAAGATGACATTCATTGGTCCCTCTTTCTTTCACCCTTACAAAGTATCAGTATGGGTTGATACTACTAGGAGCACATTAGTAAAAGTGCATTATTAAATTTCACAGTAGAGGGAAAGATGTCCCTGACTAATGAGAATGAAGGAGAAAAGATTGCAAAGACTGGCATTTAAAAGTCTTGGAGCTAAGACGTTGGAGAAAGATTGAAGGAAAACTTACAGAAGCCGCCGAGGGACCTGGCTGAATGAGCTTCTGGAATTCTTGAGCCGAAGATGATAGGTTTCTAAAAACATTTAAAGCTAAATAAATTTTTTAAAATGAGGACATTGGAAATTGTTGTTTCTTTTCTTTCTTTTTGAATGAAAATAATGTTGAGGGGTAGGCAGCTAGTTCAGCGTCAGAAGCTTGGAAGGCACTGCCCCACCATCACCTAGGCGTTCCCTCCTGCCCCCCTGTGACGCTCATCTGTCATCACCTGGCACCCGAGAGGGGGTGGTATTGCATTGTCGTGTAACCACTCCCCTCGCAAGCCCCCATAAAGGCCTAAGATAAGGAGGGGCTCTTGGTCGTGTGCTTCCATCGCTCTGGCATCCGACTCTTGTCCTCCCCAGCACCTGCTTGCTCTCTGTCTTCCCGCACACAAACTCTGAGAACAGGTAACCCTTGAGCAAGGCCGCTGTATGTCTGTATTCCTCACCCTCTGTTCACTGGTTGGGCGGGACAATGAAGACAGCAATGCTGAGATGCTTTGTATTTCTAATTTGTGTAATTTCCAGAGTTCCGGAAGAGGTGAGGCCTAGCAGTAATGGAATGTGGGGCAGAGAAGCCAGGGAAAGGTGAATGTCTGAAGCTTTGTAAGTGTGCCCAGGTTATTCGTTGCATGTCTGTAAGGATAACTTATATTCCTGGGGAAGCTGGGACATAGATCTTCAGTTAAACAGATGGACTTCAGGGTAATGACCATTTGTTCCTCTTGGGGTTTTGATTGACTAGATTGCTATATGGACTTGTGATTTGCTATTTCTAGTGGGCCCTGTTATCACCAAATTTGGTTAATAAAGACTCCTTAATAAGCCCCAGGCTTGTCTGGCGTGATCTCACTTGTACCCTGCAATAATAAGAGCAAAAAACAACAAAAACAAAACAAAAAAATAGAAAAGGGACATTTTCTGTTTAAATAAGAATAGATTTGCTGCCACATGCTGTTGGAAACATTTTTTAATTTAAAACAATTTTTCACTTAATGACCTGTTGACTATTGTTTAAATGTTTATCTGAGAGAGAGCTCCCAGCTATTTTCCAAAGCCCTGTCACTGTGGGAGAGACAGGATGGGCAGCATCCCTCAATCTAGCCGTCCCCCACAGACAGCAAGGACTCCTCCATTCCTTGAGTGGACACAGTTACATCCCACACTGACAGGAAGCGGGGGTCTGGATCCGGAGCTGGGAACCAGACCCAGGCACAACCCAGAACCAGGACGTTGGCAGCAGCAACAGCAGCAGTGCAGCAGCAAGGTCGTAGAGTCTTCTGAGGGCACTCCAGTCCCCCACCCAACAAAACCTAGTCCCCAACATCTTCTTTGCCCCACAAGTCTTTTAACATTGTGGCAAAATATGTGTAACATAAAAATTTCTATATATATACAGAAATCAAATGGGTCATATATGAATTATATATAATTATTATATAATATATAATATATTATATATTTTATACATATACACACTTATTTATTTTTAGTGGAAAGGCAGATTTACAGAGAGAAGAGACAAAGATTTTCCATCCACTGGTTCATTCCCCAAGTGGCCGCAATGGCTAGAGCTGAGCTATTCCGAAGCCAAAAACCAAGAGCTGCTTCTGGGTCTCCCACATGGGTGCAGAGTCTCAAGGCTATGGGCCATCCCCCACTGCTTTCCCAGGCTACAGTCAGGGAGCTGGATGGGACACAAACCAGCAACCATATAGGATTCCAGCGTATGCAAGGTGAGGATTCAGCCATTGAACCATCATGCCAGGCCCTTTATATATTTTCTTTGGAAGGCAGAGTGATAGAGACAGAATGAGAGTTCCCATTGAAGGGTTTGAATCCCAAAGATCCACAACAGCAGAAGCTGGGCAAGGCTGAAGCTGGGAACCAGAAACTCAATCTGGATTGCTCACACGATGGCAGAGACCCAAGTATTTGAGCCATCATCAGTTGCAACGTAAAGTGTTAACAGGAAGCTAGGAGCTGGTATTGTGGTATAGGAAGTTAAGCTGCTGCCTGCAATGCCAGCATCCCCATATGGGTGCCAGTTTAAATCCTAGCTGTTCCACTTCTGATTCAGTTCATGTCTGGGAAAGCAGAGGAAAATAATCCAAGCATGACAGCACAACAGGCTGATCCTCTGCCTATAAGTACTGGCATCTCATATGGGTGCTGATTTAGATCCTGGCTGCTACACTTCCCATTCATCTCCCTGCTTGTGCCCTGAGAAAGCAGTGGAGGTTTTCAAATGCTTGGCCCCATGCACCTGGAAGAAGCTCCTAATCCCCAGCTTCAGATTGGCTCAGCTCTGGCCACTGTGGAACTAGAAATGGAAGACTTTCTCTCTCTCTCTCTCTCTCTCTCTCTCCCTTCTCTCTCTCACATCTACCTTTCAAATAGAAATAAATTTAAAAAATTGTTTAAAGATAATGCAAATACTTGGGCCCCTGTAATCATGTGGCAGACCCAGATAAAGTGCTTCACTCCTGGCTTTCATCTGGCCTGTCCCTGGCCATTGTGGCCATTTAGGAGTGAACCAGCAGTTGGAAGATCTCTGTTCCTCTGTAACTTTCTCACTATATCTCTGCCTTCCAAGTGAGTAAAATAAATCTTACAAAAACAAATAATAATAGCAGGAATCTGGAATCAGGAGTGAAACCAGGAGTAGAACCCAGGCCCTGCAATACAAGTGGGTATTCCAAGCTATGCCAAAAACCTACATCCATTTTAACCATTTAACTCAGTTAAGTAGATTTACATTGTTATTCAGCCCATCTCCAACTCTCCACTCCTGATGCAAGATACAACCTTGTCTCCCTCCCCCAGCCCCCGGCATTCTATCTGCTGTCTGCACTTCCGTTTCAGACACTCACGTAAGTAGTCACACAGGGCTTGTCTTCTCGTAGTTGGATTCTTTGGGTTACCCTAAGTTTGCTCCTTGCCTGTGGTGCTGAAGCAGAACAACAAAGGAAAGTTTAATCTATCCGTAGATGGTGACAACAAACTTTGGAGTCTCGCTCAGTGAGGGTGATCTGGAGTTTTCGAGGGGTGCCAAAGGGGAGTTGGGCTGCTGAGGCAGGTACTGAAGTTGGCCGTGGATCCAGTAACAGGGTGCCTTGGACATGAATGCAGTTCCTTGAGAAACTGGCCAGATGGCTCAATTCTCATGAGGAGGGGACAGAGGGATGTTCTGTAGAGTGGTACAAAAAGGGTCACATTTCTCCCTTTCCTCACTGATAGCTGTTCCGCTCTGCTCTTTTGAATGCAGCCACACTAGTGGACAGCAGGTGGCAGCTCAGTGCAGACTTGATACACATTTCCCCAGTTATGAATGATGCTGAACAGCTTTTCCGTGCTTTATTGCCATTCACATCTTCTTTGGCAGAATAGCTAAGCAAATTCCTTGCCCGTTTTCTTTTTTTTTTAAGATTTATTTATTTTGGGCCCGGCGCGGTGGCGCAGTGGTTAAGGTCCTCGCCTTGCACGCCCGGGATCCCATATGGGCGCGGGTTCTATCCCGGCAGCCCTGCTTCCCATCCAGCTCCCTGCCTGTGGCCAGGGAAAGCAGTGGAGGACGGCCCAAAGCTTTGGGAACCTGCACCCGCGCGGGAGACCCAGAAGAGGCTCCTGGCTTCGGATTCACATAGTATCGGCCGTTGCGCTCACTTGGGGAGTGAATCATCGGCCTTGCACACAGCACAGACCCAGCACTAATGCCAGCAGTGTTGAAGTCTAAACCCTGGTAAACCAGAAGCATTACCAAAGAGCAAAATAAGTTTATTCCAGTGAAGGAATGGTAGAAAGGGTATTACTCTAAAGCAAGGCCCTCTTTGGGTTCTAGCAGCCTCCCCAGGTGACTGAAACAGAAGTGACCAATGAGTGAGCCTGGGCCCAGCCTAGCACTCTGCCTGCAGAACCTCCCTGAGGCCCTGATATAAACAAACCATGGCCAGGCCTGGTATGGTGGCCTAATGGCTAAAGTCCTCACCTTGAACGCACTGGGATCCCATATGGGCGCCAGTTCGTATTCCAGAAGCCCCCCTTCCCATTCCCTGCTTGTGGCCTGGGAAAGCAAGGGAGGATGGCCCAAAGCCTTAGGATCCTGTACCCATGTGGAAGACCCAGAAGAGCCCCTGGCTCCTAGCTTCGGGTCAGCGGAGCTCCGGCCATTGCGCTCACTTGAGGAGTGAACCATCGGACAGAAGAGATTTCTTTCTCTCTTTCCTCCTCCCTATATATATTTGACTTTGCAATAAAAATAAGTAAATCTTTAAAAATAAACAAACAAATCACGTCTAAGAGTCCTCCAGTACTGCTCCATTTTATTATGGCTAAGTGCTTACAAATATAAACACAAAGTCTTCAATAATGTTGAGGTTCTGAATACTCTTCCATAATTAGGTTAATTCAGGCACACTGGTATTTTAGAGAAAACACTTATCTTGAGGACTGTATCACAAGCAGAAGAACAAGAACAATTTGCAAATATTACAATGGTGACTTCAAATCGCAATTAACTTGCTGCTCAAACTGCAACCACTCATTGAGTTGTTGTGATGTAAGAGTCCCAAACCAAGTTCCTAAAGATGCTTGTGTGAGATCTGGTGGCTTAGAAACCCCTGAAAGAGCATTCAGCTGCGACAACCAAAACGCTCAGAACCAAGGCCACGAATGACGTCTGCCCAGAGGAGCTGGGAACTACAGTTGCTGTCTGGGAATGCACTGACACGGCACTGCCTAGTGCGAGTGCAGCACAGATCTTGCTGGCCCCTCTTCTGCCTCCGTTACTTCGGGTAAGCTTCCACTATCATCGCATGGCCCTGGAACAAAAACAAAGTGCAGTTAGAGAAAAGAAAAGGCAAGATTCCAGCTGGGGGAAGCAGCAGAGAACAATGGGAAAACCGCAGGCTGCAGAGCTCATCATCGGCTGGGTGACAGAGCTTGGCGAAGTTAACAGCTTCAACTTCAATCTCCTCTATAAACAGTGCTTGCGGGCCTGCTTCATGGAGTCTTGTGAACATTAAATAAGACAGCATACAGTGTGTAAGACGGTACTTCAGAGTTTATTACAAATGAAATTCAAAGCTAAACTTATATTGGTGCATTCATAATATGCATTTTGAAGAACTTCTGTTTATTTGAAGGACACAGTTATTTAGAGTAGGGAGTGTGGAGCAGCCGGGACTCAAACTGGCGCTCATACGAGATGCCAGCATGCCACTGCATTGCACTGCCAGGCCCTTCGAGAGCTTCTTAAAGACCCCTTGCATGCGCTTGGATTTCACATTTTTCTTGCACCAACATAAACACAGCTTGTGATGACATCTTCTGTGCATGTCTGGCATCACCTTGCGCTTGCACACATGTATACACGCCTAGCACAGTCTGGCTCCCAGCTGATGCTCTATGGATGGCTGCTACTACAGTGAGAAATCAGAAGTTTTAGTTGTATAAACAAACATGTGAATGTCAACAAAATTGTAAATTTCACAGAGCACTGAAGCTTTGGAAAGGTAGTGACTCATTCTAGTCACAAAGCTGTTGTTAACTGGCAGTGTGAGACTGGGACCTGGGTCTGAGTGACTCCGCAAGCTAGCCAATTCTCTCCCACACAGGGTAAGGAGACTCCCTGCTCAGCACTGCACATGGTGCTGTGAGCCAGTTACACTGCTTGCTGAGCTAACCACAGAAGCGCAGCATCTCATGAATCAAGACCCTGCCTGACTCACCCGCTCTAACCTGTGGACTGTCACCAGAACTGTTCTCAGCCTATCTAATCTCCCTGCTTCAAGGCCAATTCAACCCCCACACATGCTTAATAAGAAACTAGTAATTATGAGGCACCAGGTTGAACAGGGTGTGGGTACAAAGATTTTCTGCCCACTCTGTCCCCAGTCTAGCTGCTAAGAATTCTGAGAGCATGAACAGGGCTGGATGGTGTGGCTGTGTAGAGCTGCCTGTAGGGCAGCGATGTGAGGGCGTGCCTGCTGCTCTCTCTGCCAGATGCAGTATCTATGCCCAGCAAGCATGACACTGCTCTAGGTCAGTGCCCCCAGGCTCCCCAGAGGACACCTGGCAACACCTGGAGGCACTTCCAGCTGTCTGTGTGTATGTACCACTGGTGCCAGGGAGGGTTGGGAAGAAGTTTGTTGATACTGGAGTTCAGCAGGCAAGGGCCTTGCACACAGCACAGACCCAGCACTAATGCCAGCAGTGTTGAAGTCTAGAAAGCCTGCCCGCTGCCCCTGGTGACGGGTTGCTCTTCTTACCTCCCAATCATGCTGCTGCCACTCGCCTGACTTGTGATACACCAGTGCTGGGTTTAACAAAGTTCCTTTCTCCACACTGAGACTTCCACACTGAGGACTTCTCCCAAAGGAGGGCTGGGTGTTACTTTTTGCTCACCCAGAAAACATCTATTATAGTATTGACCCACCCTGTGTTAACTGAAGCAGTAAGGCCATATACTCAGACCACAGGATAGCAATGCACATGGTGGCCAGGCTGTGCACGAGTGATCATCCTTGGGGGAAGAGGATGGCTCAGTCTCTCTGTGGTTTGGGGGGAAATGAATTACATGAATCAAAGCACGCTCTGACTGCCAGGGCTAGAATATTCTACTTATAGATAACCAACCCTCTGCTGCTTCAGTCTCAGAGGGACAGCTGGGGCATAAAGTCCTGGCAGGTCCCTGTCTGTGCTTCTAGACTGTGTTCACCCACCTCCACCAGTCACAGAGAATCTGGGGGAAAACTATCAGGATTAAGACAAGACGACGACCACACTGGCTCCCTTCAGATTTTCTTCACAGAGTTAACTGCTGGAGAAGGTAGGAGGCTGAGTGAGGTACGTGGGAGAAACTCCACCAGAATAACATGAATCCCCTGGCTGCAGAGGAGCTTTCCAGAGGCAACCTGGTTCTCTAGGTAAGGGGTGTGTCAGCGGTTTAGAAGGTCAATTTGCCTCTTATTTTCACAGATAAGGTTTATATGTCGACATTTCCTGCAGAGGAAGTACCTTCCCACAGGCTCGCAGGAAGCGGCTGGGACATACCTGTCCTCCGGCAGCACATGCAGCCACCAGGCCGTACTGGCCCCCCTCCTTCCGCAGTCTGTTGGCAGCAGTTATGACCAGGCGGCAGCCCGTGGCTCCGAAAGGGTGGCCCAGGGACAGCGATCCGCCCCAGGTATTAAACTTCTCCAAAGGTGGCGTCCCCACCTGGCTCCCACAAACACAAGACACAATACAACATGAAATGAAGGTGAGTTTATTTAAGAATCAAGTTTAGTTTTTAGCAATAAGAATTCGAGATACAATGAAATTATTAATGTTAGGCTCCTTACAAATAATTTCACTATAAAATAAAGTCTAGCTTCATACTAAATGAAAAGGGCCAACTTTTCATTTACTATCTGGGAAAAAAAGCCAACAGAGAATTTTACTTTTGCTAAAGTACTGCATGTGTGTGTGTATAAGAGAGACAGAGGGAGCTCCGAGATACAGGCTGATTTCCCAATGCCCTCAATGGTTGGGGCTAGGCCTGGCACTAAAACCACAAAATCAATCCAGAATCTGTTTTTAAATGAGGAATACATATATTTAGTGAAATGCAAACTCTTTATAAGAAGCAGCTTTTTCCTTCTTATATATAATTTGAGAGACAGAAAGAGCTCCCATTTGCTGGTTCACTCCCTAAATGACCACAACGGTGTGGCTGGGCTGCAGCAATTTGGAAGGTAAAAACTCAATGCAGACTGGGTTAATATTCCCAAATAGGAAGGTGATTTGGAAACACACATATCCTTCATTGGAACCTTACCTTGGTTTTCCTACCCATGTAGTTCTGTGCAAACCAATCAGAATCCATGGCTTTAAAATTAGCCAAAATCTGTCCCTATAAGGGAAGACAATTCAGTAAGTACCTTATTATTAATAACTCTCCAGGCAACATTTTAGGCATGGGTCAGATGGTGTAACTTCAAAGTGGAGCACATCCTTACGCCAGGATTGAGGGGAGATATCGAGAAACAATGTGGTGCTCTTGGAGGGTCTCTGAGGGACACCCCAAAAGGTGTCTGCAACCCTCGTTCCCTCTCCACGCGCCCCCAGAACTTGAACCATCAAGCATCAATCACTGTCTTTGCTCATCACAAGCCATGCCCCCCACTTTTTTCTCCCACAAACATGGATGCTGTTTCTGTGACTACAGTTCTGCGTACACGTCTTCTAAATGACTTACTGAGAAAGCTTCATGAAATTCAAAAGCGTCAATATCATTCATGGTTAATCCCGCCTTTTCTAGAACCTTTGGAGTGGCATATGTGGGTCTGAAAGAAAAAAAGAAGGTAACATCTTAAAACTTGAATTTTTAACTTAAGAGTTCTGTGTATTCCCCAAACTGAGTTTTGGGCCAGTATCAAAGTGTTTTCTTCGCACTGACCCCAGTGTGCAGACAATAAGTTGGGGGACAGGCCAGGGAACTGAACATACCCGCCCTCTGTCCGGATTCAGCTTATATCATTCAGTGCTGAAACAGGTAACAAGGAAACAATGACTAGGCACAGGAAAAGGCCTGATGCATGTGCAAGTCACACTGGGAGCCCACGGGCAGAGCCTTGATGGGGACACAGTCTATGTACGGGGTGCAGCAATATGCAAAAGCACTTATAACATGGGGGTGAAAAAAAGAAGACAAGGTAGTATATCCAATATTTGTAAGTATAAACATATGTGGAAAAATGGAAAAGAAAACTGTACAACTATATAGTAAAATCAAGAATGATGGCTGTCTTTAAAAAAAAACTGACCATACCAACCCATTCTGAACTCAGGGCTTCACATCCTTTAGGATGTATATAGTCCAGGGACACACATGGCCACCTACCCAAGCAGAAGCTGATCTTTAGGATCCTGAGACACATACACAAAATCCCTAGGGGGAAAACAGACAGGTTAGCTCCGACAGTAAGATAATGAAATGAGACAAATTCACTTGAACACATCGCCTTACCTCAGATATGCCTTCGGCTTATAACCCATAGCCAGGGCTTTGTCCTCTGACATAATCAGCATTGCAGAAGCACCATCAGTCTGAAAGGTGAACCAGACAACTGCACTTGGTTCCTTAGCTTGCCCGGACTCCTTCTAGAGTCATCTTATAAACCCTGTTCCAGAAGCTCATCAGACTTCAAGAGTGATTTTATGCGATGGCCCTTATTTTACTGCACCCATCACTAAATCATAATGCAAATGCGCACTGACTCACTTCTGGAGGATGGGGCAGGAGCCAGTTCAAAACATACCACAATTATCAAAATGGATAAGAAGAAGGGTAACCTCAGAAATGTGTAGTCAGCATAAACTCCAGCCAGAGCTTTTTGCTTCTGGCACAGAATAAAAGGCATTTTCAAAATTAGAATCATCTCTGATTTACTTATGCTTACAGATTCTGGGCTATTTCTCAGTTGCTTCCTGTCTAGTGTTTCTTGGTGATCTTCTCCTAGCTACAGACTTCACAGCAAGCAAACAGAAGAACATCAGAATAACCACCTTCCTCTTAGGGACACAAATACCTCAATGAGGCAACAGCATCAGGGAGAAAAAGCCTTTTACCATTACTTCAAACAAAAACAAGAACAGCCCCTCAAAATCTAAAACTCCAAAGAAGATAAAACCATTTCGTATAGTTGGCAAAACCAAAATCAAGTTCTACCCTGCCCTACCATCAGTTTCCTAACTCGGCAGCATGGAAGAAACCCTGTGGCTAGCAACAGGAGGGTCATAAACACGGAACACACAGGTGACCATATGTCATAAATGGTCTGTGCTACTGCATTAATAGTATGGTCAATATGCCACTATGCCAATTAAAATGAACATAATGCATTGACGTGTTTTCAAAAACCCAGGCACCTGTGATGTGCTATCCCTGATGATTTGTGTCTCTGACACTGACTAAATCTGGACCTTTAGCATATTCCAGAAGTGATCAAGGGGTTTTAGATGTGACCTGAAGAGTATAGCTCATGTTGTGTTGCCCTGACAGCCAGTCTGGTTTTGCAAAAGATCAGCCCTTTACCACTTGGGCTTCACAGAGCGGTGGACCATCATGTCAGCACCACTTCGTACCTTTCACCTAGCCTACCAATGGCAGGTCCTAGTCACTTACCATGGGCAATTTTACTTCCATACTTTATGGCTGGACAGGGAAGAGAAGCGTAATATAACAGAAACACCGAACAGCTGCATTGTATCCAAGAGACTACACCACTGTGGTGGGAAGAGAGACCTGTGACAAGCAGCAGCTGAACCAATGTGGATGGCTCATCAGTGAGGAGCCAAACAACCAGGAAAGGACAAGAAGCCACATGCAGACACACAGAACACAGAAAACACAGGAAAGGGACTAACCTCCATGGTGCTTACGGGAAAGTAACTCTAGGGTCAGTAAAAGATTCTGTCTTGTAACTCTCAGGATTAGAGAAGAACCCCATTACTCTGCCTAATTTCCTACATCTTTTTTGACTCCCCAGCTACACTGGTCCCCAAACAGGCCCTGTCCTCAGATCTCTTTAATTTGGCATATACTGCTCCACTGCACACCCTGGTTCACTCCCTAGGAATGCCTAGTTTGCACTTCTTAAATAAGCTTTTCCTCTCCCTGCAACACTTGCTTGTTACCCTCTAATCCCTGTTTGAGTCAGGGTCCTTTTTTTTTTTTTTTTTAAATTTTCTCTACACAACCGGTCACAACACTTTCTCACTGTATCACAATTGTCTCTCTCACCGCTAGTGTTTCATACAGGTAACATGAATTTCCTGAAAAGAACAGCTTTTACACCAGAACAGTGTGGCCACATCAGATGAAGTCTAAGGCCTTGAGACTACTGTGTGGTTTTTACATGGTTCTCTCTTAACTCAACCTCATTCATGAATGACTATATTATTCAGCCTCTGCTCCTAATACACGCAAATGAATCTACTTTAAGCTTTTCTCAGGAGAGAAGAGAAACAGAAACAGCAGTGGCAACTACCAGGAAAGAAGAATTTGCAGCTGTCACAGTGCCATATGGCTTGATGAAGGCAGGTTTGAGCTTGGCCATCTGCTCCAGCGATGAAGGACGGATTCCGTTGTCTTTGGTGACAGTGTCTTTTCCTACAAAAACACAAACTGTCTTAACTCTGAACAATTATAGGCAAGTGCAACTTGTACAGAGAAACATGCTTTAAAAATTCTACCAATCGAAAACATAAACCTTAGCTATTCACTAGAGAGGCTTGTACAGTAGTCATGAGATGACTAAATCTTAAACCAAAACCTTAAGATGTGCGAAAAGTACTCAAAATGGTTTAAGAGAAAGGATGTCCTGTCTTCCCACAATAGTCACTCCCACCACGAGGCTACTCTGTACAGAAACGGTGGGAATCTGGAATTTTCAAAATCGGCATGCAGGTGAGACCCTACACATATCAGACAGAGCTGTTGCAAACGCTCACCTGCTTTTACAACCTAAATTAGAACCCGAGTCTGTGTAGGAATAAAGGGACAAACAGAAACAAAGGACTGGCTGCAAAGTCGCTGGAAGTCTATGGGTTTTAGGAGGCTCTGGAGCAACCTGGACCTGCAGGCAGCAGGTGGGCTTACCTGGTACTTTAAAGGGTACAATGTCAGACAGAAGCCCCTCGTCCTGTGCCTTCTTGGCCAGACTGTGGGAGCGCAGTGCGTATTCATCCTGCTCCAACCGAGACACAGCAAAGGCGGCAGCCAGTCGGTCTGCCGAGTGGCCCATGGTCTCGCTGGTGGAGAACTCAGCCACAGCTGGCAGCTGGGGAGGGAGACAGGCTGGTAATAGTGCTTGGTGACTCCCAGGGCTGCTCTGCTCTCAGGAAAAGCCCCAGTCTATTGTCCACTGTTTACCAGGGAAGCTCTCTGGAAATGTCTCTGAATACAGCTCACAACTCAAATCCCCTAGTGCCTTTTTCCATGACAACTAAATGTTTACCCCTGCCCTATAACTCCAAGGGGCACCGATGATGACTGGGGCAGAGCTGAACCCATGCTGTTATACTGAATTCTACAACTCTATGGTGGATGCTCTGGAAACAAGTCTTTATTCATGGTTAAGTTCACAAGTCATACCTCAGGCGACAAGAAGTTCAATCTGAATTTAGAGATGAGAGACAGCCGCTGGCCCAGACTCTTGGCCTTATTGAGATCAAGCATCATTTTCCTCATTTTCCTCGAATGGCGAATAGGGACATCAGACATTAACTCAGCACCACCTGCCACAATGACATCACACTGGCCCGAAGCAATCAAGCCAACACCTGCGGGCAGTCACATGCATATGAATGTCTTTTGCAGAAAAGAACACATTATTGCAATTTAATATTAAAAAAATTCATGTATTTAGTTTTAAATTTCTATTTATTTATTTGTTTACTGCAGAGGCAGAGACAGTGATGTACAGAGCTCTCATGCTTGGGTTCACTCCCCAAGCTTTGCCAGTGATGGTGAGGGCTGGGCCAGGTCATAGCTAGAAGCCTAGAACTCATATCAGGTTTCCCATGTGGGTGGTAAGGACCCAAGTTCTTGAACCATCACCTGCTGCCACATAGGGTGCATGCTAGCAGGATGCTAGCATCAAAAATGGAGCTAGAACTGAAATTCAAGCACTAGAGTATGGGATGCTAGCATCTTCGGTGTTAGGACAAACACCTGCCAAATTTTAAGTTTCTTGACTAACAAGCTATACGATAATTACACCAGCTTTGTACAGTATCTATAACTACAATTATCTTGTCAGAGGGAATAATTTTTTCTCTTAAAAAAGTTCTATGTATTTATTTGAAAGACAGAATGACAGACAAGGATTTTTCATCCACTGGTTCGCTCTCTAAATGGCCGCAACAGCTAGGACTGGGCCAGGTGAAACCGGGAACTCAGAATTCCAGCTAAGCTTCCCGCACAGGTGGCATGGACCCAAGCACTTGAGCAGTCTTTCACTGCCTCCTCAGGCACATTAGCAGGGAGCTGGGTCGGAAGAGAGGCAGCTGAAAATTCAAACTGGAACTCTAACATGGGACAGTAGTGTTGTAAGCAGAGCTGAACCTACTGCACCACAAGCCAGTGCCAAGGCAGTTTTTTTTCAAACGACAAATTAACAAAGACCAAGATTCACTCAAGCCATCCAGACATCAACTGTGGGGATTATTCACAAGTTCAACCATCAAACTGTATTCTAATCAGAGCATCTTGCTTAGTTTACAAACTCTTGGTTATCAGAAAGATAGTTCCTAAAAAGGGAGTATTCATTTCTCCTGAGTCAGAGAAATTCAAGCGTTAGAGATATAAGGTATCCCCCTTGTATCTTTGGGACCACTGGCAAGTAGTTCTTTGCTTTAACTGGGAGCAGAATACATGCTTAATAGCAATATGGGACACCCTAGCCACTGCAGCTGGCATCCTTCTTTCTCTGCCACCGAGGAGCTGGGCTGCCAAGCCTGGGCTCTAATGGTACCAAAAGGGCACGGAATTACTAAGTCTTCATGCATCCTCCCTTCCCCAGCTCAGGGCTGATGCTACAAAACATCCAACAACTTTGCAGCAGTTCACTGGGAGAGTGTGGTGACTCATAAAGAAGACAGGGAAGGAGAGAACTGCAGCACTTAGAGTAGCAGCTGCCAATTATGGCAGGGATGGAGCACTGTGTCTCTATGGGGGCAAGGACTGAGTCGAACCCCTGAGCTTGTGGTCCATCAGGAGCCAGGGACTTAGCCCCAGATGCTGAAGTTGCCTCCTTTTACAACATCCCTGGTTTCTAGTGGAGGAGCAGCTGATGATTAGGTCCTTCAGACATGGAGAGCAGGGAAGAGGCTGAGAACTGCTACTGAAAATCAAGACTTCTCCATGCTAGCTAGTTTCATATAAATTCTTCTTGATGCTGTTTGTAATATCTATCCTCTGGTCTCAGCCACATTGTGGTGACCAAAAGTATCAGCTCCTAAACCGTCACAATGAAAAATCCAAAGGTAGGAGGCAGTGTTGTGGTGTAGTGGATTTAGCCATGCTGGCATCCTATATGGGTGCTGGTTTGAGTCCTGGCTGCTCCACTTTCAATCCAGCTCTCTGCTAATGTGCTTGGGAAAGCAGTGAAGAGGGCCCAACAGTTGGGTCCCTGCCATCAAGTGGGAGACCCAGATGAAATTCCTGGCTTCAACCTGGTTCAGCTCTGGCCATCAAGGCCATCAGGGGAGTAAGCTAGTGGATGGAAGACTTCTTTCTTTTTTTATACTTTCACATGAATACACACACAGACACACACACACACACACACACACACACACACACACACACACACACACACAAATGTAGGCATCTATACTAATCACTGAATTTGATTACATCAAAGCCTTTTCAAAGGGAAGAGAGCCAGCACACAGCACACACCTTCTGCTCCCAGTCACACATCATACCTGTGGTCATGGCCTGGTTGGCAGAGATGCAAGCCATGGTGACAGTGTGAGCAGGAGTCTTGTCAGAGAAGCCAGCTCCAAGGGCAGCCTTGAAGAAATACAGCCAATGAAATGATCACTTCAAGTGGAAAGGCTAGGGTTTCCGTTTCAGTCTCCAGAGCCACACTGAAAATGCAACCCAGCCTGACGCGAAAATGGTTTACTAGCCTTTCAGATCTAGCCTCTGATGGACAGGCACTCCATCAAATAGCTGGTGGCCTGGTACCTGGTGTTCCAAACACGGCCACCACACTCTTCTAATCCCACACAATGTTTGCAGCAACACTTTGCTCAGAACCTTCAGGGTTATCAACACGTAATTTGACTCAAACTTTCATTTTTCAAATATGACGAAAGCAACTCTGACAAACACAACAGACAGCAGGATGAAAGGCCATGGGTGGGGGGAGGGTCTCATCATCCAAGTTCCTGTGAGCTTAGCAGCATGGCTGAAGTTATAGGACACACCATAAATCGCAGTGGAGCTGCCATGTGGCCCTGCCTGCTTGGCAACCACTGGACCTCACAGCTGGCCAGCGTCTCCTAGCACTATGGACAGAGCATGGCAGACTCTGTGCAAACTAGAGATGGAAACCTTGCCAACCTGTGGCCATGCACACTGATAAAGCAAGCTTGAGAGCTGCCTGAGTTACAAGTCTGACAAATAAGGATCAGATCAAGTCACTGCTGGGAAACACAAACCTGGACAGGATAATGACACCACTGGAGACTCAGAAAGAGAATAATTTCAGGGGCATTGAGAAAAACTCAGGCCCTTCATTAATATTGCAAAAATGGCTTCAAGAAAAAACTATTTAAGTAATTATTGAGGAAATCAGACTATTTACTGGGGAGATATGTTGCCAAAAAAACAAAATCGATGCCTGCTTCTGATTCCACTTTTACTTAAGTAAGCAATTATATTTGGCTCAGTGGCTAAGATGCAGTTTGGTGGGGCCAGCACTGCAATGCAGTAAGTTAAGCTGCTGCCTGCAACATTGGCATCCTATAGTGCTGAGTCAAGTGTCAGCTGCTCTGCTTTTGATCCAGCTTCCTGCTAACATGCAGGAAAGCAGTGGTGATGGCTTGAGTGGGCACCCAAACAGGAGACACAGATAGAATTTTTGACTATTAGCTTCAACCTGAACCAGCTCAGGTCATTGTGGCCACTGGGGAAGTGAGCCAAAAGATGGAATAGCTCTGTACTTCTCTCTCCCCACACTGCTTCCTTTGGTCCTTTCTCTGTCACTGCATGCCAAATAGATTAGTAATGAAGTAAATAAACCTTTAAAAAAAATCTTTACACTACTTGGGTCACTTGCATCCCATTTCAGAATGCCTGGGCCCAAGTCCTTGCTCCACTTCCAATTCCTACTTCCTGTTAGTGTGTATCCTGGGAGGCACCACATGACAGCTTAGTACTTAGTACCAAGTACTCAGGCCCCTGTCAACTACATGAGAGACCCAGGTAAGTATTTGACTCCTGGCTTCAGCCTAGTCCAACCTTGGCCATTGAGATCAAAACAAGAGTAAACCAGTGAAAGAAAGCTTGCTTGCATGCTCTGTAATTCTGCCTTTCATGTAAATTAATGAATCTTAACAACAACAAAAACCCAAAACTCACTAAAGAATCAGTTCATATGTGCAATTACAAAGTCCTCCAACCTAATCCTGGGTCCTTGCCCATCTATTTGCCATGAAATTCTGAACTCCATCAGAGGGAACTCAATTTCAATGGGCTTTTTAAAAAACCTTTATCCTGGGCCCGGCGCGGTGGCGCAGTGGTTAAGGTCCTCGCCTTGCACGCCCGGGATCCCATATGGGCACTGGTTCTATCCCGGCAGCCCCGCTTCCCTTCCAGCTCCCTGCCGGTGGCCCGGGAAAACAGTTGAGGACGGCCCAAAGCTTTGGGACCCTGCACCCGCGTGGGAGACCCAGAAGAGGCTCCTGGCTTCGGATTGGCATAGCATCGGCCGTTAAGTTCACTTGGGGAGTGAATCATGGGACGGAAGATCTTCCTCTCTGTCTCTCCTCTCTGTATATCCGCCTTTCCAATTAAAAAAAAAAAAAATCTTAAAAAAAGAAAAACCTTTATCCCCACAATAAAATCCCCCAACGGTTAGATAAACAAAATGTTTTCAAAGTCTAGGTCAAAGTGCCCCAATACCTTATAACTGATTTCTGGTTTTTCCTCTGATATTCACACTGCCTTCATACCATTTACCACCCTCTTTGGAAATGCAGTGTATGGGTACCACTTCCCTATTCTGGCTTTTCCAGGTTGGCCTGACACCAAGTTCCCAGTCAACTTTGCTGATAGTTATCGCCTGGCAACTGCACGTCAGCCTCTCCCACAAACTAATCCAAAACAGAGAGGGGGTGGGGATAGGCAAGAGTTCAGGGGTGGGAAGGTAGGCTCCCCAGTGGGCAAGATGCCCTCCAGCTGCTCCAGCCTGGTTCTCCCGAGGCCACTCCAGTAGGGCCACCCTTGGCTCCCACTGACCTCTGGACTGAAGCTGCTTTAAATAGAAATGGCAGTTGGTGCTCCTGTCCTCCAGCGTCTATTTAAAGTCCAAAGAGCTCTCAAGGCACAGAGGGGAAAGGAGATGACATTGCCCATACCTGATCTAGAGAACGGGACTTTCAGAAAAGTCGGGCTGATGAACCTCAAAGATCTTTTTAGGATTTCAAGCTGGCATCATGTCCTTAACAAAATCCTTAGCTGGAAATTACATTACAACACCACTGGGAGGTAACATTATTATAATATAGTACTGTAACTCAGCCTTCCCCACAGTCACTGCTAAAATAACCTGGAGTCCAGAAAGTACCAGCAGTCCCATTGGTGTTAGGAGAGGGCAAGGGAGGGCTCCTAGCTTACTGTCAATCAGCAGCTGAGATAATCACTGGACATAAAACTTCCAGAAAACAAGTGACAGAACACTATGGTTTTAGTTTTAAGAAAGAATGAGAGTACAGAGAAAACAGAAACGGATTTAGTCTCTATACTAAAACTATGTTATTTTCAATACTTTATTCCAAGTCACTCAGCTCTAAGTTGAACATGTATTTTAAGCAGCCTTGCAGCTGCATGTACTCAGGAAATTAATCTATGATACATGCAATAACATGAAAGTTCAGAGAGTTTAGGAGGTAAACCAATTTCCTTCTGTTCTGAACTCTTCCCTGTTCCCTGACAACAAATACTTCATTTTTGTGGGCTTCAGCAGTGCCAGCAGTGCCAGGCCTGTGAAGACTCATGGGCACCCAGGTGGAGGATGGCCATGCCTTCCAGTCTTGTTCCTTTGCCTTCTTCTCTTGACCGAAAGTGAAAGATGCTGCCACCCTCACAAACACCCTGAACCAACTATACAGCAGGAATTGACCTGAAATAAGGAAAAGGCTCAGCCACTGAGAATGGCTACAGGCTGAACTTTGTCCAAGTCATCACTTTAAAAGGGAGGGCAAGCACAAAAGACCTGTTTGGACTAGGCACTGTGAGATGCCTGTAAGAAACGTGGCTGTGCCCAGGCAGGTCATGAGCCCAGTTGCTCAACACTTCCTGGAGCTGTGCCAACTAGGGTAAAAGTAAACTCCTGTGAAATGGCTTACCGAACACCACCCAGCTGTTAGCAGGCAGTGAGACTAAGAATGAGGCTACCTCCAACTGATAAAAACTGCCATGAAACAACTCCTTGGGGAATGCTGAAATTTTAAACTAAATATAAGTCATGAGGTTTAACAGTACTAAAAATAACATCAGCCACACTTTGGCATAATGCTTCCTAAAAACTAGTCCAAAAAACTTACTAATTGTTCAGTACGAATACATGCAAATGTAGCTTTTGCCACTTGATTCATAATTCTTTTACGCACTATGATCCAAACTATAAGATCACCTTTTATATCAAATGTGACTTACCAGATTTTGAAATCCTTAAAAAGTAAATTGGCTCTTCTATCAATTCTTCTCTTTTTTCTCCCATCTACTGGGTCACTCCAATGTCTGCAATGACCCACTGGCTGGGACTGTGACACCAGATCCCAGATCCTCGTTAGCAGGAAGTTGGAGTCAGAGATGGGATTGAACCCAATGATCTTGCCTTGGGCCATGGCTGTGTGAGCCATTATTATAAGCTCTAAAGCAAACACCTGACCAGATTTCAACCACAAAGATTGTTTTACTCACCTCTCTCGCAACATTACTTGTTTTCACTTCCTGAATAACAGTTCCAAAGATGATATAGTCAACAACTTCCTTTGGGACATCAGTCCGATGCAGCAGGCCCCTAAAAGCAGAAATCCAGAGCAAAGGAAACTTTCTCACTGAGAGGTAATGCTGAAATCATCACATAAAACACAGCACTTTTTAAAAAAAGATAAGCACTGAACTTATAAGGGCAGAGACTATATCTTTTTAAATTTCTTAACAGACTTTACTCAGAGAGAAGGCTTCCATCCACTGGGTCCCACCTCAGATCTGATCTGAAGCTAGAGTCAGAAGCAGAGAGCTGGGTTGGAAGTGGAACAGCTGGGACATGAACTGGTATACACATGGGATGCCAGAGCCATGGGGTGGAGGACTAGTTCACTGTACAATCACAGAAGCTTCTGGCTTCAGACTGGTACAGCTCCGGCTTGCTGTGGCCAACTGGGGGTGAACCAGCAGATGGCAGATCTCTGTCTCTGCTTTGATCTGGAACTCTGCTTTCAAGTAAATGATTTAATTTTTTAAAAATAAAATTTTAAAAAGAGAGATTCAAGAGACATTCATTTATAAAATGAATCCTGGTAATCCTGGTTTGAAAAAGAAAAGTTAGAAAGCCATTCTTGGAATAACTGAAGATGATGTGAACATGAACTAGCTATTCGAAGCTACCATGAGCCTCTAAGGAGTTATCAAATGATCCTCCGGACCCCTGGGTGCTAAGGAGTTTGACAGAAAGGAGTGAGACCCTCCCCTTCCCCTGCAGTACAAGCAGGAGGGAAAGAAACTGTAAACATTTGTGCCACGTCCTTTCTCTAACCTCAACCCTCCCTCCCCTACTTAGAGGTCCATATGAGCATGCAACCCTCTAAACTATGTATAAAATATTAAAATAAAATTTTAAATTGTGGTTTTAAGGGATGGTCTTTTTTTGGGAGTGGGGGAGTCCTATTCTTGGCAGATACCTGCTCAAGTGTTTAGGGTTGAAGTGGCTTGTCTGCAGCTGACTGTAGATACAGCAACAGGCTACCGCTTAACCAATTCAGGTGTGCATTTAGCTGGTCACTGTGTTATTTCAGTTTTAACACAACCTGGACATTTTCCAAAAATAAAAAGTTGAAGAAAAACTTGTAAATTTCCTATCTGGCATTACAATAGTGCCAGAATAAGAATAAAATAAAATACATCAGCTTTCAGGCAAGGCCAGCGGCCAGAAACTCAAGGTAGACTTTTCCACTTAAGCCATCCATCACCTGCTGCTTCTCAGGGCACACATCAGCAAGAAGCTAGAACTGGAAGCTGCATTGGGACTCAGACCCAGGCATTCCACACACATGCAATCCCAAACAGTACTGTACCTGCAGTGCCAAAAACCTCCCCCCAGTAATTAAAGTTTCTTTTTAAAGATTTATTTTTTATTTTTATTGGAAAGGCAGATATACAGAGAGGAGAGACAGAGAGGAAGATCTTCCGTCCGATGATTCACTCCCCAAGTGAACTTAACGGCCGATGCTATGCCGATCCGAAGCCAGGAGCCTCTTCTGGGTCTCCCACATGGGTGCAGAGTCCGAAAGCTTTGGGCCGTCCTCAACTGCTTTCCCAGGCCACAAGCAGGGAGCTGGATGGGAAGAGGGGCCGCCGGGATCAGAACCGGCGCCCATATGGGATCCCGGGCGTGCAAGGTGAGGACCTTAACCACTTGCACCACCATGCCGGGCCCGTAATTAAAATTTTTAATGAAGGTTTATTTATTTCTTTTGGTAAGTCAAAAATATAGAGAGAGGAGGAGAGACAGAGAGGAAGATCTTCCATCCACTGGTTCTACCCAAGTGGCTAAAACGGCCAGAGTTGAGCCCTCCATAGCCAGAAGCCAGGAGCTTCTTTGTGTGTCTCCCACATGGGTGCAAGGTCCCAAGCTTTTGCACTGTACTTGACTGCATTCCCAGGCCACAAGCAGGGAGATGGATGGAAAGTGGGGCTGCCGGGATTAGAACTGGCACCCATATGGGATCCCAGCGCATGTAAGGTGAGGATTTTAGCCACTAGGCTACCTCGTTGGGCCCATAAATCAATCTTAAATAAGTGAATAAATAAATAAAGGGCCCAGCGCATTAGCTAGTGGTTGGAGTCCTTGCCTTGAATGTGCTGGGATCCCAGATGGATGCCAGTTCATATTCTGGATGTTCCACTTCCCTTCTAGCTCCCTGCTTGTGGCCTGGGAAAGTACTGGGTGGTGGCCCAATGGCTTGGGACCCTGTACCTGTGTGGGAGGCCCAGGGCAGCCTCCTGGCTCCTGGCTCTGGATTGCCTTGGCAAAAGTCGTTGTGGCTGCTTGGGAAATGAATCAGCAGATGGAAGATTTTTTCTTTCTGTCTCTCCTTTCTGTAATATCTGACTTTGCAATAAAAAAATAAACAAGTCTTGTTTTAAAAAAAATACATAATGAGTTTACACTGACAATCTCATCTAGTCCCATGGCAGAATCCTTTTACGTCAAGACACTGCAAGTTAAGCCTGCAAAGCAAAGCAATGACTACTGACACTCACACACTACTCCAACTTCTGTAGTGGCAATGGTTAAAACAAATGAACTGATTCAGGAAGAGCTGATTAGTGGGTTTTTTTCCGCCCCCACAACATAAAAGCATATTATCTAGATAGGAAAATTCTGTAGAATTTCAAGTGTAAAAACTGGTAGCAAGTGCCTTTAATGAAATAAAAACTAACATGAAACTACATTTACTTACGAAAGTGCTGCTCTGGCCAAATCATGTGGCATCAGGTCTTTATATCTGGGGAAATAAAACAAACAAGTAACTTTAACCAAAAGCCCAGAACTCCAGTAACAATCGCCCCCTTCTATTTGATATATTCAAAAAAAGCATCTAACATATGTTTGTGCCGACATATTTTGCTATCCACAGCATTCCATTTCAAGTGAAGAAACAGTGTGGCTTTGCTGTGTATCATCCTCAAAACATCTGGCAAGCCCTACCTCTTACTGCCCTTGCTAAGAACCTATCAAAACGTTACTCAATATCTTATTCAGCATGACTTGGGTTAAAGGATCCTCAAAACTAAACTCTGTTTTGAGATCTCCTTTAATACAAATTTTAATGTCTTCATTATGCCAAATGTCAGTACCAGCCAAAACGGGGCCAGGTCAAAGCCAGGAGCCAGAGATTTAATCCTGTCTCCCCCGTGGGTAGCAAGGCATAAGCACTTGCTCGTTTGTTACTTTCCCAGGGTGCACTGGCAGGAGGCTGGATCAAAAGCAGAGCCAGGACAGGAACCAGGCACTCTGGTTTGGGATGCAGACACACCAACTAGAAGCTTAATGTGCTATGCCACATTTGTCCTTATGTTTACATTTCTTAACAACTGGTAAAACAGTGGGAATCAAATACAACAACCCTTAACAAGAACAAAAAACATTTTTACTAGCCAAGAGATTTCTTTTCTTGAGGATCGTTCTTTTTCTGTCCTGTTACTGCTGGGTACAATGATAACATTATCTCTTCACTTTCCTGCTACTGCAGACTTCAGAATCTTAGTTTTTCTGCTACTGTATGAGCACAGAAAACAGATCAAAGAGAGAAACTTTTTAAAATGGGCTACTATACTTGTAAAAGGGGATGAATGAAGAACTTGCACTACCATTTATTTACAGCATTACTTCTTTTAATTAATTAATTTGAAAGAGTTACAGAGAAAAAGAGACTGATCTTCTATCTCCTGGTTCACTGCCTAAATGACTGACAGCAGCTGGAGCTGAGCTGGTCCTAAGCCAAGAGCCAGAAGCTTCTTCTGGGTGTCCCATGTGGGTGAAAGGGCCCACATACTTGGGTCATCTTCCATTGCTTTCCCAGACACATTACCAGGGTATGGGACTGGAAATGGAGCAGACAGGACTCAAACCAGTGCCCACATGTGATCCCAGTGTGGCTGGCAATGGCTTTATCTAAATAAGAAAACACAAGGTTCTAATTGTTTTTATGATACTCCCTCTTGTTCTATTATACACAAATTCTGCATCTTAATGTCTACCCTGAACATTCACATTTTAAATCCTCTATAGTGATGGCTCTCATTAGTTTTACCAGGTGCCTAATACACCCAGCAAGTTTTTAAATTAGTGACTGCATGCTTAAAATAACATCAAAACAATAGAACCAATAGTTTGAGCTGAACTGCCAAAGTCCATAACCAGTTTTGGAGAGATCAACCCTCACCTGTAGACAAAAAAGTAGAAGAAAAGCTGGTGGTCCTGGGGAAGTCTGGGGTGGTCTGAATTCATTCTAGCCCCATACACTTAGGTTTGCACTGCCTGCCAACAGATTAGAGGTCCTTCAACTGCCCACATCCTGAGCACTCCAGTCCCGGGAGGGACAGAAGCAGTACACCTGTCTCCAGCAAAGATAACCATGTCGGAAGTGAGCCATCGGGCCTACATACTTGACTTGTAGAACACTGTCATTTCAAGTTAAAATGACACTAGGACTGCTTACGAGAAAGGGTAAAAAATAAATGTGGTCATATTATTTCATCCCTAGCCTAACTCACTGTGTAATAATTTTATGGGGATGCTATCCAAATATTAGTTCATTAACAATATGATTAGCTTCTAACAGTTTCTTAACAGATAAAATAAATACATGATTGTTTCATACTCACGAAGTGCCTGCCAACAAAAATGGAGTGCGAACCCCATCTACCACCACGATATTCTTTACGTTGGGTTTGGCTAAGGTCTTCTTCGATTTCGTCTGGACAGCTTTAAGATAAAATTGAAGGAACTATTAATTAAAATAGTTGCACTGAATTACATCATTCAGTGACAAGCTGCATTTACCATTTCAATATTTAAAAATGAGGGCAGCATAATTAGACATTGACACAAACTTTAAGTAATATTTTAGGTCAATAAAGACTAAACCCAATGACAAGAGTATTTATTCCATTAACAAAATTGTTCTTTTTAATTTCATATGTGACAGCCTACTGTGTTAGAAACAATCAATTTAGACATAAGTATGCCCATATTAGAGGTTGCCTTGGTTAACGCAGTGTACCCTTTGCATAATTTGATGTTTTTGCCTTCCTGTGTAGAAATGAAGACTACATGAGTGATGACTATTGTTATTCTGCAAAAATCCAGAATGCTTCCTTAGTCTACTTGACCTAAATTAACTAAATACTCACTACTTCTTTCCCAGAGGTAAATGATGTTAATTTGGTATGTATATTTGCAAATCCTTTTTTCCTTTTACTCCATGCACATGTATACACTTGTGTATGAAGTATATATTTTTTTACTTAACATTAAAATGTGAAGATATTTCCCCAATGGTATATTCAAGCCTAGATCATTCCCTCATGTTGGTGTTAATACTGGAGGTCACTTATAATCATTTACTCCTTCATTAGCAGAGACAGAAACAAATTTCAAATTTTTGGGAACCACACCGCAACAACCACCTCATACTCTCACTGAAGTCACAGAAAAATACTTATTTATTTTAAAGATTCACTTTTATTTGAAAGGCAAATCTACACAGAGAAAAAAAAGCTGAGAAAGAGAGCAAGAGTGCACGCGCGGGAGAGATATCTTTTCTCTGTTGGCTGTTTACCCAGATGACAAGTCAGAGCTGATCTGATCTGAAGCCAGGACGAAGAGCTTCCTCCAGGTCTCCTGCATGCATGTAGGGACCCAGAGGTCATCCTCTGCTGCCTTCCCAGAACATAAATAGGGAGTTGGATCAGATACAGAGCAGCAGGGACTAAAACGGGAGCCTATATGGGATGCCAGTGCCACAGGCAGAAGATTAGCCCATTGAGCCACCATGCTGGCCCCTTAGAAAAATATTCATAATAAATGTCTATCACCAGCTTGAAAGAGCTAAAAGTAAAAATAAAAATGATCCTTATAGCTCTAATGGAGGCAGGCTGGTGAAGGCAGCAGGGGCAGTAGGAGGCTCAGTAGGAGGGGGACAGGTAACACATGCAGACCACACTCAGGACCAGGGGAAGGGCAGGACCAACCTAAGAGACTTGTCAGAAGACTGGCTACCAAGCACAGACAGGAAGGCCAGAAAAAAGGAAAATAGGATCCTAAAGCAAGCTTAGAGACTAAGAAAATCCAGCTATTCTACACAAAGGGAGAACTGGCTTCGGAAGAATAAAAATTTCATTTTTAAAGAACTGCTTTTATTGGAAAAGCAGATATACAGTGAGGAGGTACAGAGAGAAAGAACTTCCATTTGCTGGTTCACTCTCCAAGAAATTCTTGATCTCTTGATTTTTATTTATTGTGACAGCAAGGTGACTACAATATGTTAATGAGACATTACCCGGATGCTACAAATCCTTGCAAGGTGAGGATTTAGCCTGAGGTATCATGATAGGTCCAAAAACTTCATTTTTAAATTGCTAACTTTGACATGATGGGGGAATATGCAAGTGGATATCTAGAGATGAGAAACTAAAGAGAAAGACAAAGAACCAGGGAAAGATAAACTAAAGCCATCCACAGGCCAGAATCACGGGCCAGCAAAAACCTCAAGTGAGCCAAGATGCCAGAAATATGAGTGAAAAGAGATAAACACCGCAAAAAAGGCCAAGAAGGGCACACACCATGCAAGGCAAGGCAGAGAAAACCTGCTGGTTCCTACAGCTGCTAGCCTGGTTCTTACCATGTTCCACTTAGAGCACATCCTCTCATCTTGTACTTGGGGGTCCTCAGCTACAACTAAAATGCCCTGCTTTGTGGTCCCCCTACACTGCCAGGGTAGAAACATCAGAAGGGAGCCTGGGGGAGGGGCAGGAGCAGGAGGGTAGGGGAAGAGTAGGGGGGTTAGACAGTCAATACTTCCACTTCAAAGGAACCAGGACAAAAAATCCTGCAATCAGGAACCCCGATAACCCCTCATGACTGCAAACAGAGAACAGACTGATGAGGAGAAAACAGAGGACACACCATCCCGTCACCTGGCCTTTTAACAACTGACACTTTTTATACACCTTCTGATAAAATTCAAATTCCTACATCCTCTACATCCTGCTTGGCTTGCTTCCTCCTTGACTGTCCACAAGTATGTTCCACTACTTCTCCAAATTTACCAAGAACAGGCCACTAATCTCTCAAAGCCTCACTCCTTTCAGCCTCCTGTCTTGGGTCATGCACCCTCCCAACTGTATAGCTCCCTTCACACTCAATTATCGCAATTATCAACTATCTCTCAGGCTTACACCACATTCAGCCTCCTAGCACAAGCTTCCCTGGTAACCACAGATCTTGGCAGTTTCTAATTCTGAATGTCCACAGCAACTTCTAGCACAAACACTGGCCATTTCAAACCACTAATCATTCTACAGAATACTTAAGATAATCCTACAAGCATTTAAACAAATCAATTCTTGGAGGCCAGGATTGTGGCCAAGCAGGTTGAGCCTACAGCATCCTGTATCAGAATGCTAATCAAGTCCTGTCTGCTTTGTTTCTGGTCCAGCTCCCTGTTGAGCTGTGTGGGAAAGCAGTAAAAGATGACACAAATTAGGGCCAGTGCACTAGTATAGCAAGCTAAGCTTCCACTTTCAGTGCCAGCATCCCATATGGACACTGGTTTGTGTCCTGGCTGTTCCACTTCTGATTCAGCTCCCTGCTTGTGGCCTGGGAAAGCAGTGGAGAATGGTCCAAGGCCTTTGGACCCTGCACACACATAGGAGGCCTGGAGGAAGCTCCTAGCTCCTGGCTTCAGATCTGCTCAGCTCTGGCCACTGTTAGCATTTGGAGAGTGAATCAGATGATGAACAATCTCTCCTCTCATCTGTAAAATATGCCTTTCAAACAAAACTAAATAAGTCTTAGAAAAACAAACAAACAAAAAAACATATCCCAAGTGCCTGAGCGTTGCAACTCATGTGAGAGACCAGGATGGCGCTCCTGGGTCCTGGTCTTGGTCTGGTCTAGCCTCAGCTGCTGTCACCATTTTAGGAGTGACCCAGCAGATGAACAATCTCGCTCTCTTCCATTCACCCCCAGCAATTCTGCCTTTCAAATAAATAAAACCTTTTTTAAAATCCACTCATTCTTCATCACACATTGAACAGTCACCCCACACTCTCATCCTGTTTCATCCATACACCAGCTCCTGGCTACAACAAAACTTTCCTGAGGGGCCTGGAGCAATGGCCTAGTGCCTGAGATCCTCGCCTTGTAGGCACTGGGATCTCATATGGACACCAGTTTGTATCCCGGCTGCTCCACTTTCCTTCCAGCTCCCTACTTTTGGCCTGGGAAAGCAGTGGAGGATGGCCCAAAGCCTTGAGACCCTGTGCCCGCATGGGAGACCCTTAAGAGGCTTTTGGCTCCTAACTTTGGATTGGCTCAGCTCCAGCTGTTGCAGCTGGAACCAGCAGAATAAGGATCTTTCTCTCTGTGTCTCCTTCTCTCTGTAATTCTGACTTTCTAATAAAAATAAATAAATCTTAAAAAAAGAAAGAAAGAAAGAAAAGAAACACCTTTCCTGAGGGCTAAGAACACAAGAGCTCCGTACATATTTCACAGTGCCAGAGGCAGAAAAAATAGCAATGAACTATAGGGAGCTGAATTAGAGGTTGTGTAAGATGTAGGTTCTAATCTCTGCTCTGCCAACAGGGAAACTGGAACGGTGACTTAAACTCCAAACCTAGGCTTCAGTGGGCGACTGCTAACCACACTGCACTCTTCTATAGAATCAAAGTTGGCAAAGATAAAAGGTCATGCTTTATAAAATTGCTATTTAGGCGTGGCAAGTGTGTGTGTGCATGCAAGTATGTATAGGTTTTAAGTATTTCTGCCCCATAACAAGCTTATCTTTCAACTCTATTTTCCACAAACATTTTGAAGTATATAATCATCAAGTCTGTCAAAATTTCCACCAGACAATTCTATTTTTTAGTTCATTAGTTTGAAACCGAACTCCTACAATAAGAAAGCATGAGCCAGCCTCTTGTCTGTGTTTCTTAGCCTAAGTGTCTTTCTCTATCCTTTACCAAAGGAATTAACTGACTTAAAGGGAGTGATCCAAAGCTTTAATTTGTTTCTCCAACAAAAAGAACCTTAACAGCCAATGTTGTCCGGGGGTGGTTCCTGTAGTGGAATTCCAGGTGCAGGTAGAATGTAATCGTCACTTTTGCTTAAGCCCCAAACCAAGTGGAGCCCACCTGGCCATCATAAACTCCTTGGAGAGCACAGCCTCACAGAGCTATGAAAGCAAGGCCGTCAGCTCCCCTGACCCAGCAGGAAGTTAGCCGTGAGCTGACTGTGCACCTCTCCACCCAATTTCAATCTAGAAGAACCTTCATCTCAGTTCCTCAGGACGTCTGGGAATTAAGCAACAGCTGCCTGGCTCCGTGCTCTGCACTTCGCAATAAAGACCTACTGTGTTCTACCCTAATGTCAGCGATGGGCTCTCTGTGGGCTCAGTTTGGGGGTTCTACAGCAATGCCTCCAACCAGTTTGGAGTGTTTGGCAGCAAGTTGACTGAATCAATAAATCCTCTTCCCATTTCCTCTAATTTATTCATCCTACCAGGTATGACAAGCCTGGATAATCACACACATTTCAAAAGGGATTGAACAGTCATGAAACTGCTTCATGCAAAACCTGCTCAGCATGGCACTTGGCTGCTCCCAACCCTCAAACCAGCTGCCACATTTCTGTGTCTTTTCAGGTGCCTTCTTGCACTATTATGATCATTAGTGACCTAAAAATCAATAGTCACTGTACCAACTGGGGATACAAAAAAAAAAACTTCAGTCTTATGAGAACCTACAATGTAATTAAAGAGCAAACATCAAAAAACAGCTACACTGCAGGACAGTCTAAAGAAGAGTGTAAGATGAAAATAAATGCCTTCATCTGCTGCAATTAGCAATGACCTTTCTCCTACTTGCAAGCATTGGCTCTATTTGCGTGACTTTGAAAGCAATGCTAGGTGAACATCAGAACTAGGGAAAGGGTGAAATGAGACACAAAGGGGCAAATAAAAAGATCTATTCTAGTGGGAATTATAGGACACAGGAAATACATATGTCACAGAACAGCAGTAGGGTTTAAGCACTAGACCGCTCAGAATATACAAAACATAAAATATCATCTTGAATTTATGTTAACTATATAGCCTTCAAAGTGCTTGTTGAGGGGGTCAGCACTGAGATGAAACAGGCCAAGCTGCTGCTTGCCAAGCCAGCCAGTCTGAGTCCTGGCTGACCAGCCAGCACCTGCAAGCACCAGCTCATCCCTTCCTGCAAGTGTTCAAAGCTAACCTTCGTCCCCACAAGGGTCTCAGAAGTGTTTGCAAGCCCATCACTCCCCATGACAGCCAGCCAGAGGACAGGCTACTGCTCAGTGAGGTTTTTTTATGGAACCCCCAGGACTCTAGGTTCCAAGGCTCAGGAGGCAGTTCCTGTCAACAGGCAAGTCCAGTTCGAAGCAATGTAATGTTACTTCTCTTTGGATCTACAGAGTTTTAAATTGAAGGCAATAGGGATGTTCCTGTTGTGCAAACAAAGAGAAGACTGGAAAACTCCTTTTTTATTCAAAATTCACAAATACAACATCTCATGTTTCAATTTAAAAAACAAGTGTATTTTGATCAATTACTGTACCTGGTGCAGCTTGTAGCTGGGAGGAACAGCTCAGGGGTCTGAGAGCTACAAAAGAAAACAAATCATTTACAAAAAGCAATGCCACTCAGTGTTTGTGCAACAAAGTCACAGACCTAAAGCTCATCTTAAAGAGCAGGAAGAAACAAAACTTACAAAATCGGAGAGCCCATTTGCATGTACTGGGAAGATTTTTAGCTGTGTGTGTCAACATGGAAGTCATCCTGAAATCTAAAAAGAAGAATAAATAAACTCCAGGTTATTTAAATAGTTTGTAGTTTATACGAGGACAAGCCAAAAAATTTGTGGAAAATAGAATTAAAATATTTTTAAGTTTATTCTGGTACCAAAAAAATTGAAACTCATACATACCTTTTTCAAAACATACATTTCCCAGGAACTTTCTGAAAATTCCTTACTTTGTAGTCTATGATTTGCTAATTTTACCACAAATTACTTGGGTCCACACCCTGCTACAGATGCCTCCCACACTCTAGCATAGCTGGTCTACGTGAACAAAAGTCCACGTCAGAAAGAAGGAATGGAATGCCATTTCTGAGATCAGTCTACAAAGGATAGTGCAGATTCTGTCTTGGTCTATCTGGGATTACTCACTCCAGAGCTAGCTCGCATGTGATGGGGCTGCCTTACGAAGGGGCTCACGGGATGAGGAACTCACAGCCAGGCAACTGACCTTGGATGTGGACCCTCTACTGCAGACAAACTTCCAGATAACTACAGCCCTGGCCAATATCCAACAGCAACCTGGCGAGATATCCCAGAACAACTCAGCTAGGGAGCTCAGCTCAGGCTCCAGACTCTCAGGAATGGCAGATGATAACTTACTGTTTTAAGCTGATACATTTGGGAGTACTTTAATACACAGTGATAGATAATAGCAAAGTCTTTTTTAAAAGGATGTATTTATTTATTTATGTATTTAATTACAAAGTCAGGTATATTCAGAGAGAAGAAGAGATGGAGAGGAAGATCTTCCATTCACTGATTCATTCCCCAAGTGACCACCACGGCCAGAGCTGCGCTGATCGGAAGTCAGAAGCCAGGAGTTCTTCCAGGTCTCCCACATGGGTGCAGGGTCCCAAGGCTTTGGGTTGTTTTTGACTGCTTTCCCAGACCACAAACAGGGAACTGGATGGGAAGCAGGGCTACTGGGATTAGAATCGATACCTGTGTGGGATCCCAGTGCGCTCAAGGTGAGACTTTAGCCACTAGGCCATCGTGCCAGGCCCAATAGCAAAGTCTTAAGGTTTAACTTCTCTTGGGCCTTTGTGCACTAAAAGGAGAATGCCTTTCAGTTTCTAAAAAGAAAAATGCAATGTGGGTAGGCAACAGATAAAGGCCCACCTCTAGAAAGCCTCAGTCTAGTCAAACGACTCTGGTCAGGGAAACACCAAGAGATTCATGACATGGGCACCACCTACACACCCCAAGTGTCTGCCACACAAACTCCCCCAAGTTCCTCTCAAAAGAAAAGTCAAAATACAAAGTCAAGAAAAGACTGCTCACAAGAAGGGAGCCCTTGCTCTGACAGCCAGACTTTCTACAAAGCACCAACAACTACAGTTTCTTGAGCAGTTCTGGCACAAGAATAAATGAAAGCTGGAAAACAGCACAAGAGTTACCAAGGTCAGACTCATACTCCTACATACAAGAATTTAGTATATAATAAATACAGCATTTTGGATAAGTGAAAAAATGACAAATTACTCATTTCAGTAAGTTTGCCTGGAAAATGGCCAACCTTTGGGCAAAAACTAAGGTCTACAGCTTATAACATAAGTACAAAGCAACATTAGACATTAGACAGACTAAAGACCAAAAAAAAAAAGTGTATACACGTTCTTAAAAGTATAATAGTTCTAGAAGAAACTATTAGCGAATTTTTCATGATTATCTTAGATGGGAAAGGAATTTTGACATATGCATAAGACCTAAAAGCCATAATGGAAAAGAATGAATAACAGATCTGATTATATAAACATTTTAAAATTAATTTTATTTTGGATGATAGTTGATTAGGGTGATAGGGTCAAGGGCTACAGGAAGGTGGGTGAGATCACCATTACCACGTTCTCTTTTTTTCCCTTCCTGTATCTAGGGAAAGGTGGAAGAACAAGCAGAGAAGCCGCACCCAGCCTCCCAAGCCCTCTGCACCCTGGGATGGAGGACAGCCACCTGTCACCACCCCAGGGTCCCTGATGTGGGGCACGCTCTGAGGGTCCTGCTCAAAGAGGTCTCGATAATTCAACAATTCTGAATTACTGCCAATCTCGCCACTCCAAGCATGACAAAATCACTCCAGAACCTAATATCTGACACAGTCCACCCTAAAAATCAGATTTCATAAGTAAGAGCAACTACACAAACTATCCTGTAGGAAGACTGACCTTCACCACCACTTGCTAAACAAAGAGGAATTTTTCCTCAAGGATATTCAATACATGGACACCCTCAGGAAGGCTTGAGGAGGGTGTGTACCTCTGAAGATACCCTCCGAATGAAAACAAAACAAAAACTGTGCAAAGATACTGGAAGCTGCAGACACCTGGGAGTCCGGGAAAAGGGGCTAAGCAAGCCACAGAAGCAAAATGGGCAGCACCAGAACTCAATATTGCAACATCATTAAGACACAGTGTAACATAATTGGCACAGGCTGTAACACCAGGCTAAGTCCAAACGCTGGCTCCATCTGTGCTGCATGACTTCCCCTTCCTCTTTGAACTTTGATATATGAAATGTAGACGATCCTAACACACACCAGGTAGGCTTGTGATGAGCAGGTGCTTAGAGCTGTGCCTATGCACGTGCCTGCTATTATTATTAGCTGGTAGTTATACATACTCAGTACCCCTCCAATATAAACCATTGCACTGAAGTGCTGAAGAACAAAGAAACATCCTATCACTTCCTCCTGGTGGAGCTTACAATTTTGCTGTAACTTCAGGGAATAAAATGAAGTGTATGAGCTAGATCAGAGGCTGGCAAACTACAGTCCCTGGGGCTCAAAGTTACACACCTCTGAGGAGCTGTGAACAGGAGCCAGGGAGCCAGGCAGTAGGCTGAACCGCCACCTGCAGCCCCAAGAGCCCATTCAGGTGCCAGTTCCAGTCCTGGATGCTCGACCTCCAATTCAGCTCCCAGTTAATGTGCCTAGAAAACAGCAGAGAAGGGCTGGGATACTTGGGCCCCTGCACCCATGTGGGAGACTCAGTGAAGCTCCTGGCTCTCAGCTTCAGCCTGGTCCAGCCCTGGCTAGTGTGGCCGTTGGGGGAGTGAACCAGCAGATGGAAGATTTCTTTCTTCCTGTAACTCTGCCTTTCAAATAAGTTAACCTTTATTTTGTTAAGAGTTGTAAACAAAACAGGATATCTTACCCTGCAAACATAGCCTTGAAAACTGCCAACTAAAAGCTGGCCCTTGCCATTAAAAAAAAAAAAAATGGCAACTTTGACCCACATAATAAGTGCTAAATGCAATTTGGTGACAACAGCATTACGTGGGCAGGAAGCAGGCTATAAAACTCCAAATATCTTACAAGCACATCAAGAACCCTTCTTGCAATTTACTCACAAGGGCATCCAATTTCTGCTTAAAGTGCTCATGGTGGGGCCTGTGATATTGTCACATGGGTGAACACACAAATCTTTAAAACAGTGCTCACGATGATGAAGAATACACTTTCAAAAAAGATTCATTTTACTTGAGAAGTAGAGTTACAGAGACACAGAACTTCCACCCGCCTTTCATTCCCCAAAAGTATGCAACACCCAGGCACTGGGCCAAGCGGAAGCCAGAAGCTCCATTCTGGTCTCCCCTACACGAGTGGCAGGGCCTCAAGTACTTGGTCCATCTTCCAAGTCTTTCTCAGGTGTATTAACAAGGAAAGTAGAGCAGCCAGGACTCCAACCTGTGCACACAAGGGGCACCAGCATAGGACCAGCAGAGGCACCTGCTATACTCAACACCACCCTATCCGACATAAGCCTCAAGAGAAACTCTCTTCCTTCTTCCTTTCAGGCCAGTGTCCCTGCCCTTTCCCACAATCCCTTTTGTTTCTTGTTCTAACGTCCACCGAGCTGCCAGTGGAGACAGGGATTTCTCTCCGAATCTTGGCTCTGCCACCAACCCGAGCATTTACGTCATCTCCTAGGTTCTCCCAAACTTCATTTAACAAACGCTGACATTCGCTTTAGCATCGCGCCCAAAGCACAGGCGGCCATCAATGCTACTTTCTTCGGAGACGCCCCACATCGTATCCCAGCACTCGGGCCTACCTTCCCCGCACAAACACAGGTTGTCACACAACGCAGGGCTCCTGCTCCGAGGTTAAGACTGAGGCCCTGCTCCAATGTCTGCCACCTGTGGTCCCTAAAATCATTCTGACTCGCCGGAGAAAGTGGGGATGGGAGGGTTGAATGGTCAGATAACCGCCAGGACCCTTCTGGATTAGAAGGGACAACGGGTCACCAAGCAGGACCGAGGGCTGTCCCAGTTCCTTCCACATCCAAACACTCCATCCCCGCCTTTACAGAGACATGGGGTGAACCCGGACGTTCCGCATCTCTATAGCCGACCGAGCCCCGAGGAAGAGGCGCTGCCCAACACAGCCCAACGCCTGAGGCCCACACACGCGCGCTCACAGTCCCGCAGCTTGCGGTGATCCAGGCAGACGCGGGTGATTACCGCTCAGAGCCGCAGCTACGACGCCAGCCCAAATCCCCGCCCGAACCGCGGCTGGTACCGTCCTCCTCCGAGGACCGCTTGCCCGACGGCCCAGCGGACGGAGAGGAAGCCAGAGCTCGCCCGCGGCAAACGCTGGAAGCCAAACCGAGCCTAAGCCGTGGCTCACCTCTCTCAGTGTTTACTCTTCTTCAGGACGAGGCTTGCAACCAGGTTAACCAGTCTCTGGGGCACCCAGGGGCGGGTCCACTTCATAAAGGTCCCCTCGCCCTGCGCAGGCTGCCCGCTGACCGCCTGACTGGAAAACTCGGCCTTCCGCCCCTCCTCGATTGGCTTCTGTGCTCCGGCGGAGAAAAGCGTTCTTCTGGCCCTGTTAGCTTGGAGCGAAGCGTAGTGTTTTGGGTGGCCGGCAGCAGCTTGGCTGCTGGAGTTTAGTCAGGCAGTCCCTCAGGCGCCTGGGCGTCCCGGCCAAGGGAAGAAAAGTCCTCTGCTCCGCCGCCGCCCCTGCTATAAGCGCTCTCTACTTTCGTCCTCTTCAGCCCAAGATGGTGGCCTCCCGGGTAATTGGCAGCTTGAGCCGCTTCCCTGCCCTCAGGATCCTCCGCTCCCGAGGTGAGCCCCAGCCGAGGGTGCCCCAGAAGGCAGCGGAAGGCAACTCCGGAACCGCGGTTGTCCTGTGCGTCGTCTCCGGCCCACTCCCTCCGGGGCTCCAGCCCTCGGGATGGAGGGGGACACTGTCCGGGGACCCCGTTTCTCGTCTTTGCCAAGTTGGGACTGTCATCTCCTGGCTCCCGTCTGGGTCCTGCTGTGCTGTCGGCCTCCGCAGTCCCCATATTTCTGAGTTCTCTTCGGCCGGTCTGACCCTTTCTCTGCAGGGCTCCCGGGTCGCCCCGCTGGACCCATGCCCCCCGTGGCTTCGTTAGTGGTGGCTTTCGACCTGGTGCTGCTAAGGTTGGGAGTTCCCGCAGCCCTGGGACCCAGGCTGTGCTGCATCTTTGTGTCCACAGCACCTGTCCACAACAGCTGAGTCTTACAGATCGCTGCCTTTCCCTCACAGCCATTTTTTTTTTTTTACTAATTTCCTTTTTTTAAAACTTGTTTTTAACTGGGTTTTTTTTTTTTTTGCTTATTATTTTTTACTTGTTCGCTTATGTTTTAATTATTTATTACTTACATTTCAAGTTAGGAGCACAACTTATGCAGCAATTAGTATGAATGTAGAGTGTGTTAAATTGCAACGAGAAGGTTGAAGAAATATGCAAATAGCGAGAATAGTGACTAAGGACTAAAATACTGTGCCATGTAAAAAGCTGGCCCTAGGCTGTGACCATTTCCAGCCAGCTTGTATTGGCTACAGTATCTTTTCTCCTCAAACAGGCAGTAAAGGGCAGTAAAATTAACGTGCATGGTTGCCTCAAAGTTAGCATTTTCCTTCATTTCCATTTCATTACATTTCCAGGCATAACTTTTATGACATGGGTGTACTTCCTGTCACTTATTTAGTTTTTTTTTTTTTACTCTCAGTTTCATTTGTAATATGAATTCCTTTCCCTTTCTTCCACTGAACGCAGGGATAAGAGGTGGCATGGCTTTTATTTATTTATTTATTTATTTTAAGATACTGGAGTAGTCTCCCTTTGCTGTAAGGGATTCACTGAATGAATCAGTCTTTCTCTACTCCTCATTTGAGTCTCCACAGGGCTGTCATGTGTGGGGGTTCCAGCCATGATGTAACCAGATTTCAGGAAATTGAAATACATCGTAGACCAGAGAAGGGCTCAAGAGCGTAGAAATGTGCTTTGTCTCAGCTACTCAGAGGCCTGCCTTTAGCATTTGGTTGTGTTTTCCTACAGGTTTTCTACCCCATTTTCCACATATTTGAAAAATTGAAAGTGTGTCTTTGCACTTGCCGCTGCGTTGGCTCTTAGGTGTCTCTTATGGATTGGCAGCTGGTGTGAACACTGAAATGACAGGTCGCGTGGGCTCTGGTCACTGGGAAGCCACATGACTGGGGACAGCTAATCTACTGCAGGTGGGCTCTGTTTGCTCATTTGTAAAATGAGAAATGAAGCCCATGAAGTGTCTGTGGTGTGAGAAGTCGCACGACTAGCATTTGATTGGGAGTCTGGCTTTGGAATTGAATCTAGTTCTGCCTGTTACCCTCTATGACCTTCAGCAGTCCATTTGTCTCGTTTTCTCATTCTGTCTGTCTTCCTTTGAGATCCACAGGAGTTATTCTAGTCCTGAGACACTTTTTCATAGAATAGATATCCAGTAAATATGAGCTGTCATTAACTCTGCTCAGCCTTGAAGAACCATGATACGTGTATCTAAGAGTTTTTTTGGAGTAATTCTTCCATTTTGTATGTGTAGTAAAAAACTACCAGCTTAATTTCTCTGTATTCTATAAATATGTACATCCACATAAATGTATGTTTTGCATTGTGTCTTAACCACTTAAAATGTGTGATTTGTTATAGTCACTGCTCCTCTCAATAGCAATTAAAAATTTTTTTAATGTCTTGGAAATGAGTTTAAAATTAGTTGCACATCTGAATTTACATTTTGACATGATAGATTGATCCTTTACCATATAAGTCTGTGTCAAGACATTGCCAAACTTTTAATGGGTTTGTGATGTTTGCTGGTGGGTGATTAAATTCTCTTGAAATTGACTTATGGGATACTTTAAAGTGTTCAGCTGTGCAGATGTACTCTTTTAAATAAGACTGGAGGGGGAATCCCAGTCTATGAAATTGTACCATGAAATTCAGAAATTCAAATTAAAATTTAACAACAACAAAAAGAAACTGTTGAACTTCTCAAATGAGAATTTCATCTGAATCAATATACCTTGTTTAATTACCATCTCTAGCCTATAGCTAAATTCCTAACTGTGTGAGTGATAAAATAGTCACAGCCGAGTTAAAGGCAAATGCCACCATAGATGGTGTATTTTTTTTTAATTGACTTTCAGTCATCTCTTCCTACAGGATTGAATTTTGAGAAAAACTGTTGATTGTGATAATCAGTGTGACATTTTTAGATTTAAAATTAGTGTCAACATAGTCCAACTCTTTCCCACTGATTGTATCTTACAAGATCCTGAATTACATCACAATGAAGATTAAATAGTAGGTCAAAGGTTTGTCTGGCACAGTGGATGTAGGCCAAAGTTCTTACAGCTGCAGAGTCAGCTTGGCTATTGGGTAGTAGGTTAAGTCTGATTACAAGTGGAAGCTTCCAGGCCCAGTGTGATAGCCTAGTGGTTAAATCCTCACCTTACACACCTGGGATCCCATATGGGTGCTGGTTCATATCCCAGCTACTGCATTTCCTATCTAGCTCCCTATTTGTGATCTGGGAAAGCAGTGGAGGAAGGCACAAAGCCTTGGGACCCTGCACCTACATGGGAGACCTGAAAGAAACTCCTGGTTCCTGGCTTCAAATCAACTCAGTTCTGCCTGTTGTGGCCACTTGAGGGGATGAACCAGTGGATGAAAGTTCTTTCTGTATTTCCTGTCTGTATATCTGCCTTTCCAATAATAATAATGATAAACCTTTAAAAAAAACCCACAAAGTTTGATTTTTTTTTTTTAAGTAGAAGCTTCCTTGTACTGTTTGTGTAATTGTGGCTTGTAATTGTGACTCTCTGTCTCTCCCCTTCTCTCTTTAAATAACAAATAAATCTTTCTGAAAAAGAAAGCATGCCAGAAGATAAATGTCTGAGCATGAAAAGAGAACAGAAGGCTCACGTGAATTACAGGTTAAGGATCAAATATTTGAAACAATATGTTGGTGCATCATCCTATAGTTTAAACCATTTCAGCTCCTTCCACTAACCTACCCATGTTGCACACATGCTCACACAAAACCTATTCTAAGTAATCAAGTAAAAAAAGGAGATAATATCAGTAAATACACTAGCATGTTCAGAAAAAACCTGGACAGTTTCCTATGTCAGAAAGGCTTAAAATAATAAAGTGTGACATGGGACGTTTCACTGGTGGCAGCCACTGTCACTCTTTTATAATGCCAGAAAGTCCTTTTCTCTAGAAAAAATTAAAAAATCCAAAACTAAGATAAATGCATTTGAGATGCCTTGGTAGGTGGTTTGCTGCTTAGTGTACTGTTTCCCTGTTGCTGCTGTAACAAATTACTACAGTCTTTATATTTTAAGTATCATTTTATTGTCAAAGGGAGATTAAAAGTTGGTGCACCTCACAAGGTTAAAGTCGAGGGTGTTAAGTAATGCTATGTTCATGATGGATGCTCTGGGGGAAAATCCATCACCTTACTTCCGTCCAGCTTCCGGAAGCTGGCTGCGTTTCTTGGCTTTTTCCTTATTCCTTCTTCAGAGTCACTAACCTGCCTGTGTCTTTCTCACACTGCCGTGTCTGTGGCTCTTGGCTCCCTCTTCCCCTTTGTGATACACAGAGCCCATCTGGTTAATCCACAGTAATCTCCCTGTATTATGGTAAACATATTAACGTCTTACTCCCCCTTTGCAATGGAACCCAAAGTACACAGGCTGTGTGGACGTGGACATGTTCTGCCTACCTCATTTAGTATCTGAATAAGCATATGACCTGATAACTGAAGTGAAATAGATAAATAGTCACAATACAGGCCTAAAATACATCAGCCTTTTTTGAGTCTTTTGTTGGGTTATAAATTCTGTTTTATAAAATAATTAATTTTGAAATACCCTTTTCTTACAGGTTATATTTGCCGAAACTTTACAGGATCTTCTGCTTTGCTGAGTAAGTTTAATTTCTTTTTGACATGCTTAAGTTGCTTTTTAGTTATCTTACTATGTTTGTAAGTAAAATTTCCTTTCTTTATTTTTTTTTAGCCAGAACCCATATTAACTATGGAGTCAAAGGAGATGTGGCAGTTATTCGGATTAATTCTCCCAATTCAAAGGTATCTAATTTAACTTGCTACCATGTATTTCAGTCCTGAATGTAATTTGTAAATTTGAATGGGAAAGAACAAAACCTGCCAGTCTAGTAATGATTTTCTCACATGGATCCTTAATTTTGATAGGTTAGTTAAGATTTGACAGATTGCCCCGGAGAGCAGTTTTCTGAAACAGAATTCCTTATGGAAGAGTCCCTCCTGGTTGACTTTAAGTGTCAGCTTAGCATCAGGGATTGTCAAGCTAGCTTAGGAGATAAGATGCAGCTCACTTGCCCCTCTCACCTCTGAAGTTCTCAGCCCCCTTCCTAATTACCTGCCTGGTGTCTGGGTT